TCTTTGGTGCTCTGGAATCCGATACTAGCTCAGCAGTCGGGCTCTTGAAGCGGGTCTGGCTGTTGGTGTCGACCGTTGCTGTTGAGGCTGTTGTTGATACTGAGCAAAATCGGGTTGCATAGATTGTTGAGGAGGGACGGCGAAATTCTGAGGATGAGTGAATTGTGGCGGAACTTGGGCAAATTGGGGTTGCGGCGGCTGCTGCATCTGAGGAGGGACAGCGAATTGAGGAGGTGGCGGTGGAGGTGCAGCAAATCGAGGGAACGAGTATCGTGGAGGTGCAAAAGGTGGAGGCCCATTAAATTGCGGATGTCCTTCAGGCCAGATTGGAGTCTGTACTGGTGGGACAAATCCTGGGATATTGGCTCCAGGTCCGAATTCTTGTTGGTATCTCTGCGCGAGACGTTGCCACCCTTGTTGACCTTGATGCATCTGGGGTTGTGGTACTTGCTGGCCTGGGTAATTCAAATGCCTTCTATTAGTTGCGAAATCCAAATTATCCAAACTTTGAGCTAGCCGAGAGACAGGAGTTTGGGATTGTGGAAGACGAGGACCGTTGCGATAGGTTGGGGGAGAATCAATTCTGATGGCATGGGGATCCGAGAGCTCACTGCTAGTTCCTTGATGCGGGGGCTGATCTCTTCCAAATACTGAGGAGACAGCCGGACTTTCTCTACCTTCTCTCCAAGGGTTCATTCTTGAAAATCCTCCGAAAAGTTTGAATTCAAAGAAGTTGGCGCTGTGAGAGGTGGATCTGAGAAATGGATAAGTTGTTCTAAGTATAACCTATCGTAGTCCTCCCAATCTAAGTAGTATAGAAGAGATTCTTGAGTAAGCGGGGAATGAGATGGGAAATCTGAAAAAGGGTTTTCTTCTGGGAATTCAAAGAAAGGTAAAGTTTGAAATATTATTACTAATTGACAGGGATCTTCAATCTGATTGTAATAAGGTAATTCCGAAAAAGAGGTTAGTAAATTGTCTGTAGAAAACGAGCTTGGATGAATATATTGATGTCTGAAAGCGTGAGAAATTGAAAAATGAGTGAACATAAACTGGTAAACTTGAAAAAAGAAGGAGTCGATGAGAGTTGTAAAATTAAATGAAAGTTAAAGAAACTTGAAAAAAAACTTTATTAAAATTGTGATCTAGTGATCTGAAGAAAAAGAACAAAAAAATTCAAAACAACGCTCAAAAAGAAAAAGATCGGAATAAAAATGTAAAGGCCTGGGTTGTATTCTTAGTCGAGACTTTCTCAGAACGGAGAAGTCTTAAGTACGGCTAATAATAGCTTTATTTAGGAACGGTTTTTCGATCTCAGAGTGCGGAGAAGTCAACAAAAGGGAAACGTAAGATAAATGATTATTCCGATAAAGAAAAGAGCAACAGAGTTCTAACAAAACAACAAGTATATATATGAGAGAATAACAATATTTCGAAATTGATAAAAAGACTGTTATCCGTGTTCCTTGTTCCTGATTACAAATTGTGTACATACGTCATTTTGTTAACTAGCTATTATAAAAATATTAGCCCTATTTAGACGCTCGTGTTACATTCTTCTTTCTATGTGACAGGTTCATGACATACTACCAGATAGTCTTGAAACATTTTTTTGTGAAGTATGACTAAAATTCTTAAACTATTGCTATGAGTTTTGATGAGAGTCGAAAATCCTATGGACACAAAAACAAATGATACAAGCTTTGAACAATTCACGGGGTTCGTTTATTTGATATAATTGGGTATGGTCAATATATGGAAGCCGGGGAGGATGATGGTACGGAAGGTAGGGTCTAGGACTGCGAAATTTGGTCCTGTGGTTTGAAGGACTTTAATATTCCATCATCTCACAAAACATATGGGGACACGGCGAAAGGAATGCCCCACGGTGAAGAGTTGCATGAAGGGTCTGATTGGTCACCGCGCGACAAGACCTGTCGCAACTATTGAGCCCATGACGTCCACTTTTTTTATTCAAACTAATGGTTTTTGTATAATGATATGAACTTTAAGATCACAGGCTTGTTTCTGACCTCAATGCCTCTTGCACGGCGTCGTCCGCGCAAGAGGTACTTTTTCAACTTAATTTCAGCTCGCAAGGTTCGCGCCCTCTCAAGTTCTCCGCAATATCCAGTTATACATCTCTTTCTGGGTAGGTGTGAGTACAAAGGTTCAGAAGTGAAATTAGGTACCTGTGAATTGAGTTCAATTCTTTGGTTTAATTGTTTTGGTATAATTTGGCTGTTTTGTTCTGTGATTTTCTAGCGATTTGGTCTATGATTGCAAAACCGGACTGATATAAAAGCGAAGCATGCAATTGGCAATTGGCAAAAAAGCAAGAAGGTTTTTGGTACATAAAATGGTTCAATCGGATCTTTTGATCGAGCCATGTGAGCTCGAGTCCGCCTTCTTGACCTGTCGTACACTGACTGGAGCTCAACCTTCTTGTATAAACTGCCTTTTAAGATTGTTTAGACTCACTATGGCATCTAGCTAGCCATAGGCCTCACATACGCCTTCGAGTCAAGTGGGAAATCGTTAGAAAGATAACACAGAAGTAAATTTATTATACAAGCAGAAAACTAGATAGAAAGAGACAAATACACATTCTCGGTTAGAAAAGAACAAAACGAACACAGTTCACAACGAAGCATGCTTTTGTATGGAAACCAAACAAAATATGCTGTAAAGATTGGTTCTAAGACATGAAAGATCAGAACCGATGGGCCAGAGCTGATGCTGGATTTTAGGGAGGTTGTTATTTATGAACCTGCTTATCACATTCACCACCCCCACCCACTTTGATAAAGAAGAGAGCAAATCAAACAAGTGTTAGTCACGAGGTCAGATATCAAAACTTGTTTTTGAACTGGAATGATAACACACTCATTGGCTCCACACTCGCACATCTGAAGTATTCTCTGCTCCCGGCGTTTGGATAGCATTCATCTGTTGAAGAAGACACGTGAATACAAGTAAGCAAAAAGGAATCATATAGCTCTAATGTCACAAATTTGAGCCGATAGAGAACCTGACTTACAAAAACCTGTAAAGAATTGGAAGCCTCCGGTACACGATGGGGGGCTGACGGCCTTCCCATGATTGGTACAATCCGAACCCTCTGAATTCGATATGAGAGAGCAGAAGAGTATGAGGCCAATCAGTCCTTTGAAATTGTTAAGAGCGAGAGAAAAGACAAAGGAAGGACGCATCGCGATGAAGGTTTGACTCCCTTGTAGTTTATGTGTGGTGAGGAAAGCACTCAACTGGGTGCCTTTCGAGCATACGCGTCAGAAACTCCGCCTCTGTCACAAGTCAACCATTCGGTATCAGTAATACAAACTGTTGAGCAAAAAAGTGATTGGAAAAGCTTCTGCGGTGAGATAGCGTCTTGGAGGTACATGATTACACATCACAGAGGGTATCTTACCAAAGCCTTTGTCTTTGGAATTCGCTCTAGGTGGGATCCAGGCTTTGTTGCACGTCGCTACGCAGATGTGAGCCGAGCTGTGAGCAAATATTTATCATACAGAGCCGGGTGGCAATATTGACGCCTTGTTGAAAAGAAGAGGATGAAAGACCTACTGCCAGTAGTCGCGACGGCTCCCTTTGCGCCTGTTGGTGGCCCCGCTGCCTGAGATATGGTTGCAAAGACGGCGCAAAGTGCTATAACGAGGTATGCTTTGAGCATTTTTGTGCAAAGTAGTTGACAGTGGACACAAACGGTGGAATGTAGCTGAGTTGATGTGAGAGTTGGGAATGTTATAAGGAGAACGTGAAGGAGAAAACCAATTGGGGTATGTGAAGCTTTATACAGATCACGGAAATCGTGGGTTTGCTTTGGTTGGGCTATTAACAAGCTATGGAGGCTGAGGGCGGCGACGAGAGGGGTGGGGACGAAAAGCAATCAGAGCGCGAGATTATATTGCTTCAGATACTGGATAAAACGAGTTTTCAACTTTTTGATGTCGCTACATTTAAGTGGCTACGGCGAAAGAAAAGCGTCGCATTCAATAAGATTGTCATGGCCCTGATGACCTGACCTCACAACCTGAGCCCATGACTCCCATGGCACTTGTGATTCTCAAGCACGTCATTCCAGAATGAATCTAGCAAGTTTACCATGGTGCACTTGAAGTGGGTTGAGTTCAAAGTCTTGACAACTCTTATGCTTCTCATCACCCTTGTAAGTCTTGTCGCAAAATACATGATTCTCCTTCAATCATTCATTCTACATATTTCAGGGAGTTTAGTCATAATTCCCTGTTCTTTTGATTGAGAATATACCATTTGGATTTTTTGAAAATGTAAATAGCGACAACCAAACTTGAATCACAAAGTAGAAACAAGGGGCCTTTTTTACTTATAACCATTTGGACAAAACATCATCTCTAAAAACATACTTTTGATAAATCACCTTCTCAACCAGATAGCAATTTTCCATGTAGAGTTCAACTTTTGAGACATCAAAAAGAAAAAAATAGAAAGAACTAATTGATGTAGTGGATTTCCTTGCAATGAAATTAACATACTTGGGAGATGTACATTACCAAAATACTCTGGTGTTCAATCATAAAGATGCAAATTGGCCGAGTTGAAACAACATGTTCACCAATAACATCCTAACAGGGGGCATAAGGTTCAAGAAGTTCATAGCCATAAAAATTATCTGCATTATCAAAGAACAGGGCTGAGTCCCACAATACCAATTATCATGAAAAGCCATCTCAAATGAATCAATTCAGTGACAGTGCAAAAAGTATCGTCCGTAACTCAATTTACCCCACAATATTCACACAAATCCCAAACTTTGCAGTGTAACTATTCTACAAACTCACAGAGCGTTCAATGCACAGCCCCTCACCAGCCATTATATGCTGCAATCTTACACATAACATACATAGGAATCAAACTAACACAGAAAACCCTCCGATTGTCCAATCGTTTTAAACATTACATACAGTCAAGCTTTTTCTTCTATGGAATTGATTTTCTTTCTTTTATCCCAAGACCGCCTTCATTTCCCAGTCACATCCACGTGGCTTAGCACTAGGATACTGATGTACGATACCGCTCATAAACACTCTAGGTGGTGGAAATTGACTGGAATCAGGGAAGTTTCGTGGTGGATTGGTAGAGTAAACAGTAGGTGGACTAGCAGCTAAATCATCAGGAAGAACCATCAGGATCATGATTCTCTGAATCCTTTCCGGGGAGTTGATCAAACTTCACTCACGTCTGGTTCTAGGAGGATCCCGGTTGGCACTAGGTACGATCATACTCATTGGCCTGACTGTTGGCGAGGGTGTAGATGGACTGGCTTTTGATTGTGGTGGTGGTGGCGGTGGTGGCGGGGCCATCATAGACATTACCCGTGCACGCGCTGCGGGGCTGATACCAGGTGGTGGTGGTGGGGGTGGAGGCTGTTCAGGAAAATGTGCTGATACCGGTCTGCGAGACGCGGGGGTCTCTGGAGCTTGTGGCGGAGGTAAAGGCCTCAAAGGAGGCGGAGGGAGTCGATTTGGTGGCATTGGAGGAGAAGGAGCTCGTTGGTTGACTGGTGGGGGTGGTGCAGGAGCTCGTCTAGGGGGTGTAGAAGCTGGGCGAGCTATGTTTGGCGTCGGCGCCGCTGAGTTGGGTCGAGGCGGCGGAGGAGGCGCCTTACGAGCAGGAGTGGCATCAGCGGTGCCCCCTCGCGGTGGCGGTGGCGGCGGAACTGGCCTGGCTCCAGGTCTTGAAGGTAAAGGCGGTGGAGCTTGACCAGCCTGCTGTGGCGGGCGAGGTGGAGGCGGTGGAGGTACGAGGTTTGCCATTGAAACTGCGCGTTGTTTCATTGATGGAGGAGGAGGAGGAGCTGGAGCGGTTTGAAGAGCTGGTGAGGGTCGAATGGGAGGTGGAGGAGGGCGGGCCGGGGGTACAATCTCAGGAGCCGCCGAGGCAGGTCGAACGGGCGGTGTGATTGTCGTATATGATCTCGTTGGTTGGGGCGGTGTGAATCGAGAAGTCGGAGTGTCTATTGGAGTAGTAGGTGGCAGTTTTCGAGTGGGTGCTGAAGCAAATGTTGGAGGTGGTGGTGGGGGACGAGAGGGCCCCGTGGATGATGACAATGCTGGCGGTGGTGGTGGAGCTCGAGAAGGTATGGGCTGAGTAGGAGCATGCTTCGGAACAGGTGGTGCTCGGGTTGGAGGGTTCACAGTATGTTTTGGCACCGGAGGTGCAGCTGCAAGAGGAGGAGCTGGTTTGCTGTGGTTGGTCTTTTTGAGTGTAGGCATCCCACCGGCAAACAATCCGCCGAGCTGAGGAGGACCATTGTTCGTTGCTGGCGTCCCCAAATTATTAGAAGTTGCTGGAGCACCGCCTGGAATCTTTGGAACAGAAGGTGCACTTCCAGCACCCGGTGGTCGTGGTGCACTCGCTAGTCCACCGCCGGGACGACTTGATCCAGCTGGTTTGCCAACTACTGCAGGTGCACTTCGATCATTGGTAGTTGCTTTCTTGAGTCTCCTTCCAGCTTGTATCTGAGCAGCCAAAGCAGAGTCCATTTGGGAGATTCGACAGCTCGATCCAATAAGTGTTCAGTGAGATATGTTTGAAGAATTGATGTTGATGATGGATGATAATCGGTTTGAGGATGACTGTTGACCGATTGAATGGTAAACAAGAAACTGGCACTGCAACACCGAACAAAACCTAACCTTGAGGTCATATGACAAGGGCAAGAATAGTGTATGTACACCACATAAGGTTAAGGTACCTCAAGTTAAGTCTAAGTAGTGATCACGGGTTTTAGGAAAAGTGAACTCAACTTGAACTCAGCAGGAAAGATTGTAAGACCAAGTACAAAATGACATTCATTCATCAACTCAAGAAACCTTTATCTCATTCTATCCCCTTCGCTATTCGATCGATCTCATCATCCTCTTCCAGACACCAAAAGCCAATTGTGAGCTCAAGTTCAGGTAAAGCATTTCTACCTATCAATCTACCAACTCAAAGGGACCGATATTGAAGTAACACTCATATCAGCAGGACAATCAACACCAATCTCAAGTGTTAAAGCTGGAACACCGCTTAAAGGCCTAGGTATCATTAAAGGTGTAGGAGATCCCGTTGCCAAACCGGATGAAGAGTATCCAAGTTGGCTTTGGAGTTTGATCGAACCTGGAATGGGTGCTGGGAAATCTGATGAACCTCTTAGAGCTATCAGACGTGAACTCAATAGAGAAAATCGAAATAAGATTAGGTAGAGTTTTTTGGACTTTTTTCTCTTTTTGATCTCGTTTATTGACACACTTTATGCTCAACCTGATGATGTTTCTTATCATTAGGAATTCAAATTTCCTCAAAGGTAATAAATAATTCGAGATGCAGAACCTCGATTCAAAGGCTCGTCAAGTTTACTTTACCAGCTCAATGGCTGCTATATTCCGAACAAGCCAGATGAATTTTACGATATTATCTACCTCATGTTCGTCTGGATCCGAAGCCGTACCACCTACCAAACATCCAGGCCGCATGTGACCCCGATACCCTGTTTACATCTTTAATTTCGGCCACGGTTATCAAATAGTCCAGCAAGACTTGGACATAGCGCAGACTATCGTCATTAGAGCCACCCAAACTCACTCAATCATTCGCTTCTGGTCTATCACAAGCTGTCAAAAGCTCATCATAAACTTGTTATGTTGCATGTATTTGTACTAAAAGTATATAAAATTCAGAGATGACAGCTTATTCTCAGTCTCATCCCCAGAATGGGAACCAACACCATTAATCAGGCATCCAGGCCACTTATAAATCATGATACCTTGTTTATATTCTCTTATGTCTTGACTACGGACACATGAGCTAAGTGAGGCTTGAGGATGATGGAGTATCTAAATAGTTCATTCCTGAATCGAATGGCATTCAAATATGACAAACAGAGCTCAACACGCTGAAACATTTGAGCAGAAGAAGCGTAGGCGTCTTTGGAAAGCTTCCTAAGAAAAAAATGACATTTAGCTCGACACCCTTGGGACTATGACGCTACTAACCCTTACTGCATACTTGGATCATCAGAAGTTTTGTAAATATAATGGTCTGATGATGATCATTGGGGCGTATGCTGTCGTATCCTGAGGAGATATTTGCCGCTTTGGCATTGACTTCACTGGTCGGACCCATTTAGCGTCGTCATAAGCGAGGGTAGGGCGTCGCGATTTGAACAATGGAGTTGGTTGGGCAAACGACTTGAGGCAGCAGTTTGAAAAGATGTTTATGTGCTACATACACTCAGCGAAAAAAAAGGAAACCAAAAAGACTCATGATCTGATGCTTACCCCGTGGTTGCAAAATGTATCCCTCATGATGCACGTAACTGGGGTCGAAGAAAATCTGTATTGAAATCAATACGTCAAAGTCTTCAGGAAGGCCAGAAGCTGAGGGACCGTGATGATCAATATCTAGAGAAGGGTGAGGAGCAAAAGAGTGGAGCCTGAGGATACAAAGGGCCTATGTGTAATCCATCCTTAACATACAAGCAAGGCATTCTGAGATTCGTCACTGGACCCTCCCTTGAACACATTTGCCTACGCTCAACACTCACTTGAAATCATATTAAAAATCTAGCTCCTTCGTCTAAAGAATTAATCATCCCACCCAACCTAACAACTATCTACATCTAAAGCGTTCAAAGACATTTTACCATACTTCATTGCCTACTGTAAACAACTGTCCATAATGCAGATCGCATCCTTCAACACCTTATTCATCGCTCTATACGCCCTTTTAGCTGTATCTCTTGTTTGTGGTCAAACGGAAGTGAAAACTCCCAGTACCACCACTCCGGGCAAAACTGCTGATCCCAAGCCCATCACTCCTGAGCAAAAAGCTGAGGGTTTGAAAACTGCTAGTGGTGTACTAAGTTCGGTTTCAGCTGGGTAAGTCCTACTTCAGTCCTTCATATAAAATTGATTTAATTTGGCTTAAATGACTTATGTTTTTCTTCTTGTTTTTTGGAACAGATTGAGTGGTGGAGGTTTAGCAATGCCTTCAGGTATCTTGAAAGCCATCGCAGATGGAGTAGGTCAAATGGCTTCTGGTACTGGAGCTCCTAAAACCAAACGTCATATTGAATTTGAGCGAGATTATTGAGATTGATCCTCATGTATCATCATTCAATCTAATCAGAGCATGTGAATGTTAAAGTCTTTGGAATCCTCATTTGATTTTAAATTTCTAGTCCTCAATCTCTCTTTATCACAAGGAACACAATATTATGTGTTTGATTTTTTTCTTCTGTACTGTAACACTTGTACAATTTTTTTGTCTTACTGGATAACTTGCTCAATATCTATGTATCAGACTTGCATCCTTTGCTGTTTTCAATCAGATCATTTGTACCAATTGATGTGAAATCACCTCAAACACTCTTACTCAAAGCGACCATCAAGACCCTGTACGTCCGAAGCCCTTAGGTAAGTACCTACAAGTCTTGTAGTGAAATTTGTATGATTCAAAGAAGAAAAACCAGTATGAATGATTTTTTGAGAAAAACAACATGTACTTACAAGTTTTCCAGAATTCAGCGTCAGTGTAGCTAGGCCATACCATCTGATCAGAGGCTCATTAAGGGCTCTGCAGGCTGCTTTTGATGCACGCCGAGCAGTTAGTCAGACTTGATTGAATATTTCTAGATGCATGTCCATGGCCTGAATCAACTTCCCTCTTAGACTTAGGCGGGGTCTTTCGGAGCGGAAAATGCGGGCATGGAAAAGATGAGGATGCCGGATCAAGACATTACCAGTTGGGCATCGAGTTCAAGTAAAGATTTAAGTCCAATCATGAAAGTATTATTTGAGGCTTTAGTGATGGCAGTGTACGTCTTCATGCCACGGTCTGAATGAATGGCTATTAATTGCGTGAAGTTTGTAACTTGTCATGGCTCGCCAGGAAGAGAGCGCCCAAGCCCTACCTTGTCCTACTCCTCACTTAGAAAGGCTCGTTTCCCGAGGCTAGCCTTACAACTTGTTTTCGCCATGGGTTCGTTGACCTGCCTTGACTTCATCATAGGTAACCCGCAACTCGTCTGACAAAAGCTTGGACTTGGGCAACCCGGTAAGGTTGAGTGATCTTGCGAGCGCGTCTGCCGCGCCCTCTGAACACCCCTCGCCATCGAATCACAAGCATGCAATCTGGAACGTCTTCTCAGAGCCTTGGCAAAAGCTTTTCCTATCAGTGTTGGTGGGTTTCAAATTCTATTAAAGAGCTCAAGTTCCAACTCTCGAAAGCACAATCACACCCCACTTCACCCAAAAATCCTAAATCACTGAAATCTTTTGTCCATACTTTATTGCATTGTAAAATCTCGAGTCTTTCAAGATCCAATTCACCTGAGATCATTTGTGCATAACCGCCTCTACTGTAAAATAAAATCTATCATGCATCTCACCTCTTTCAACAACATCTTCCTTGCGCTTTTTGTTCTCTTGGCTTCCTCTTATGTTCTTGCACAAGGAGATGGCTCCGCATCCCCCCCGCCAGCTCCCGTCAACAATGCGGCACCTACCACCTCACCCGGTGCACCTGAAAGTGGAGGCTTTAATGCTACTGATATGGCGAAAAAGGCTATGAAGGCAGCAACCGGAGTCATGAATGCAGTTTCAGGAGGGTAAGTTCCATTATCTTACATCTTACCCAGAATTGAAAAAAAGAACTAATGATGAATTCTTGATCTTTGAATTGAAAGTTTGACTGAAACTATGGATGCAGCTACAAATCTGATTAAAAAGGTGTCGAATTATACCAGTAATGCGACCGCTCAAAACACTAGACGTTCAATAACATTTGATAACACGATTCATCTTGATTTGGACTAGGTAAGAGGAAAACTATTGATTGATTCCTTTTTGACATGTCCATCTGATCAATTTTTTTGATTCTTCTTTAGTTCAAGTTATTTAGGTTATCTTTGTTTTTTGGTTTTAATAATCTGGATTATGAGACTTAAACTTTGATATCTATTTTATATTTCTTACATCTCTTGATTCTCATTTTTAAAGCTGGACTATATTTTGTATGAATTATTTTATACTTTATCAAGATGAATTTAGCGCTGTATTATAGATTAGTACAAAAAGAAGATATCACCTGTTACGATCCATCACCTTGTAGCAATAAAAAGCCTTTGTAACCTCATCTTTCAATTTCATTTTCAATTCAGAAGTCGTATCAAACTGAAGAAGTTTGGATCAAAAGCAAACTTTCTAGGTTAAGAACTTGGTCAGTTCAAGTGGAACACGATGCAGAGGATGATTATCAGACTGGTGTACGACAAGAGCTTCTATGGCTTCTAACAAAGATAAGAAAGCAAGTCGTGAGATGAATCCCATCCGGAGAGCCCTCATATGACATTGTAGAATGCCAAGAGTGCAATGTAGCCTTCAGTATTACCTTGATAAAAGCATACAAAACTTGTAAAATAGATACCGACTCTTGAAAACTCCAAGGGCTATCATGAACACCTCAAGCTTGAGCTCAACCCATGGTCAATTTCTTTTCTTGACGAACTCAGAAATCTTTCCTCGACCAAAAACGTCATCAGACCTGACTAAAGTTCAACCTGTTGTTTATAAGGGCAGCTTTAACGACATTCAATCAGGAACTAACCTCATTGATAAGCCTCTCTTTTCACTCAAAATATAAAAAACATCCTTGAAATCTCATCCCATAGCAAAGGGCATTACTTTGCAAAATCTCAAAAAAAACATTCCTTTCCTTAATTTCCTTGCAAATACAACAAACAACAAGTGTAGAATCAAGATCAAAACCAATCTCGAGAAAAAAAAATCAACTATAATTTAATCTTTTCCAATCGTTTTTTTTCTAAACTATACTGAAAATGATTATAGATATTAAACTGATAAGCATCATATGAGAATCAATCTTAAATCGATTCCCATCACCTTGTTTAGCTTTATCTTTCCTAATAAACCAAAAAAAAACATGATCAATAAAAAAAGTAAGCACCATTCAAATCAAATGAAATCATTAAAACTTACGGAATGTTTGTATTGGTTACATTCTTTGGATTAATAGCGGGAGTTACCACAGTAGGAGTTTTAGGTCCTGAGGTAGTGTTAGGTATCGTTGGTGAAACAGGAGGTTGACCCGGTATCGGTGTAATGCTAGAAGGAGGCGGGGTGTTGCTAATGGTTGTAGCATTGGTTTTGGGGGTACTGGTTGCATTGGCGGCCCCAGGAAGAGGTGATATAGATGAACTGTTTGATGGTTTGGTTGGTGTGAGTGGGGGACTTGCGGTAGTTGAAGGTGGTGGTGTGATTGGAATTGGAGCAGGATTGGATTGAGTAGAAGTTTGATTTGTTGGACTCTTTGTGGCTCCGTCTCCAGAATTAATCATTCCAAGAGGTGTAACATGACTACAGTCTCCTCCGGCCTATCCAAACATAACAATAAGTTTTCTTTAGATTTTGATTCATGTTATCCTAAGGTATAAGAATGATACTCACAAGGACTGTAGAGATTTGTGAATAATTTATAATTCCTTTGTTATCTCTTACTTGAAATGTTAATTGTGTTCCAGGTGCTTGATCGACAATCCAGCTAAAATTATCCACAAAAAAAATTCAAAAAAAACTATTCATGATTTGTTTACGAATAGATTTTTCTTTGGAACAAAAAACTTACGTTAATTGACCTGGTAGACTCATGGTTGGAAATGTTTCCAAAGGTGGTGCTCCAGGTGAACCCTTTCATAATACAAAAACGATGAAGAAACAATTAGAACAAATTGATCATGAATTGGATTCAAGACTAGAACTTACTCCAGGTAGAATAGATACATAATATGGCGCTTCGCCTCCTCCAACCGTCAAGGCTATCGGAAGACATTGGATCAAACTAGAGATACATTAGGAAGTCAAATAAATCAATAAGAGACAACAAGTTGGTAAACACAAGCCCATCATCTCAATGATTTGACTCGATCAAAGTTATAGCTACTCACCTCGGTGGGAGATTAATCACCGGTTTATCCTCTTGTCCTGCGACAATAAAAACTAAGCTTAAAAGTAACGAGAATTTGAGATTAAGGGCTCCCATTGTTGAAATGGATTATGTTTTTAAAGCTGATGAGATGATGTTGAGAGAGTAAGTACTTCGACCAGTTCTGGTGAATGAAAGCTGAAGGTGAAGAAAGTTTCAAGAAAGAAATTGATGATGGTTTAGCTGAGCAAAAAGTGGGAGAATATTCCCTCAAGATCGAGTCTATATGTACTTTCTGCAAAATCGATTAATTCCATCTTAACGATCTATCGTCAAGGATCCAATCGAAGACGGCTACCAAAATCAAAAGTTGATAATAAAACGTTAATGAATCAAATAAAAGATGTTAACTTATCACATCCATCCTCATTATCATCAATCAAATCACTTATCAACCGGGGCCTTCTTTTAATTTGTCACTTTGAGGTTTCGGATTGCGCAGCAGTATTCAAACCGATCTTTGTTGTTGACTATTCCCACGAGGCCCTTTACCCTTTTTCAAGACTTTGTCGATGCTATTTGTGGTGGTTGAACTCGTTAACAACGATATTCAGGATACGTGAATGGCCATGGTCTGCAGAGTGCGTACCATGTGGTAAGCATCCTGAACGACGGAAGAGACAAAAGACTATCATCTTGTTACCAAAATTTGTTATCGCACGTTGATGGCTTCACAAATTCCCACTCAAGGCGGATACTGTGTGTATATGATCTTAGAGGGAAGGAAAAAGTTCTCATGGTGACTACATGGAGATTGTCAGGGAACGAGGAAAAGAATTCTTAGATTTTGTGATGGATTGAGAAAAAGAAAGGCATGAATACTTGAGTGTTTCAGTATCATGTCGAGCGGCAAGCCCCAATCGTTACAGACAGACGCTATCAGGAAAAAGAATCAACATGATGTTCTGGTCAAATACCAAAACAAAACATGAAAGGCCAAAACTTTTTTGATTAAAATGAAAGGTGATTATTATAAAGAACACATCAACATATCTAATATTTACGCCATCCTAAGATATGTAATACTAAAGTCATTAGGCTTGGTATGTTTTCCTTAACTAGTCTTCCATAAAGTATCATCCTCTATTTACTTTTCGAGCTACACTTGCCATCAACAAAGTCTACAACCTAGGCCAAAGCTTCCTCGCTAGTTTCTTTGGTTTCATCTAATTGAGTTACTTCAGGTGAGTCAGAAGATGCAGAGTTCTCCTCTTCAACCGCTGTCTCGATTGATTGTGCTGGTTCGATGGTAGCCGGTGTCAATTCTTCGACTTTAGGATCTTCTTCGGAAGAAGGTTCGACTTTCTCATCATGATCATCTACCCATTCTTCGTTTCCAGTAGATTTTTCGACTGGTGCAACTGGTTCAACAGGGGTGGAATCATCAACTAAGATATAACTGTTTGCTGTTTGACTTTCACCAGCTCCACTACCGTGTTCTGAGAGTGGGGCAGATTTCGGACTCTCACTCCTTGGCTGAGGTTGCTCTCCTGCGGATTTAAACGAGGCGGCTTCGGATGCAGGAGCTGAGAGCGTCGATGGTGGGTTTTGTGGCACTTCTGGTTTCTCAGAGGATGATTGCTCTGTCGAAGTTGGCTTGTCGGAAACGGTGTTAGTAGAGATCTTGGAATCGGGCTTGTTAGAGCTGGTTTGACTGGCTGGCTTAGAGGCCGCAGCTTCCTCTCCAGTGATCTCTTCAATCAGGGCTTCGCCGGAAGGAGCGCTACGGCGAGAGGCGCCAGATGAAGAGGCCTGCGATGAGCGGATGGTTTGATTGACATCCAATTTGATCATCTCACTAATGAGTGCGAAGAGCAAGTTACAAAAGTGGACGAGTCTTCAGTTGAGTCAGCAATTCAAATGAAGCTGGGTAGAACCCGAAAGATGAAGACTTACACCACGATGCCAAATACTTCAGGGGGCATAGTACGTTGATAGATCATCATGAGCTCTTGAGGAGAAGGGTATACTTTATAAGCTTTGAAAAATGAAATGGCAGCTGGTACAGCGCCTTGAGGAAGCCCTATCAAAATTCCCAAAAGATCGCTCAGCTATTGAACTAAACCAGATTGATAATGACGAAAGTATCGATTCTCAAAACTTACTTCCAGCCAACATCTCACCCATTCCGACTTGTTCCATGAAATAGTTCTCTTTCCCTTCGATAGTCGTTGGAAGAGGTTCAGCATTAACAGCAGCTACAGCAGCTGCTAACATCTCTTCAGCTTCTCGACTTGCATTCTTGTTAGATGTTTGCTTTTGTTTTGATAGCTTTCGTTGTTCTTTCACTAAGTTGGTCATGAGAATTCAGATCAGTTAAATTAGAATCATTTTCATCGAATCCAATTAGGATCAAAGAGAATTGGTAGAAAACCATCAATCGAAAACGTACTCACATAGCTTTTTACGGAAAGCTGGATCATTTCGACGTTTATAATCGAAATAAAAGCAATAAGAGATCCCAGCGGTGAGGACAGAAAGACTACCGATTGTAAGTACTTGCCGAGTGGTAGGCATAGTGATAAGAGTGATGATTGGGATCCTTTCTTCGATCGCCTTGAGGCTTGAAGGACTTTTGGGGAAGAGGTGCACTGCTTGTATCAAAGGGTAGTACCGGTCAAAAAAACTTGACTCACCAATTACACAATCACATTACCACTTGTAACTGTATCAAGACACACATTTCACACACTTCGAAATGTAACAAAGCCCTCTCTGCGGGGCGCCGAAAGGTTGTGCGGGGTGTGTAGACGGCGAGTCAAGTGAGACTGCAGTGTATGCACCTTCAAGTTTTCGCAATTTTTCTAACTTCTCTAATCGACTTGATCGATTAATGGCTACAAAAATTGTTATTGGAGGGTCAGGTAGGATCTACATTATAGCACGCCGAGTCACGCATATATCACTCTATCAGAGAACTGATTTGTTTGTATTTCTCATTTCGTCATCCAGGACTTCTCGGTAGAGCGGTGGTTGCACATCTGAAAGAGCAAGGCCACCTATGTTGGTACACATGCTTTCAGTAGGGCCACAGACGCGCTCGAAAAGGTATGTATACTGGATTCTTACCTTGATAGATATCTTCAATTTTATACCCGAAACCATCTAACGATGATTTGGATGTCTCATAGATCGATTTACGGGATACAACAGTAATAGAAGACTTGATCAAAAACTTTAAACCAATCTTACTTGTGCATTGCGCAGCGGAGAGAAGGCCAGATGTAGCTGAAAAAGATCCAGAAGGACTAAGCAAGTTGAGCAATTTTTCCACTCGTTCTTTACATTTCATGATTCATCAGTTCAGTCGAATCAGTAGTAAACTGACTCGAATTACGTCGCCTCTTGAATTCAGTGTGATGTGGACACTTCTAAACATCTAGCCGAACTTTCCAAGCGGTATTCATTTCGTCTCATCTATATATGCACAGATTATGGTAAGCAAATCCAACTCTCAAAACAATCTATAACTCGTAAGTCAAATCTCTGATCTTGAAATATTTCTGGAGATAGTATTTGATGGTAATGCACCAGAAGGAGGATATGATATCAATGATGAACCAAAGTGAGCTATAAATGGTTATTGTGTTTTACAGACTTTCACTCTAAACTGATGTCTATTGCTTGTTCACCAAACAGTCCCACTAATTTATACGGTGAGACCAAGTTAGCTGGTGAGAAGGCCACTTTTGAATCGGGTGAAAAGGGTCAAGTCCTTTCACTTAGAGCACCAGTCCTGTAAGCTCTTTCACAAAGTAGTTCAAATTCGAATCTATATGACTGACTGAAACTTAAAACTAACGATGCTTTTCGCTTTTTGACAGTTATGGTAAAGCCGGACGGAATGACGAAGCAGGTCAGTTTCCAATTGAAACCAAAGAAATGGAATGATAAACCAAAGATTGAAATCATTGGCTTTTGAATTCCATCTATCCATACCTTGATCGATGGTGTAAAGAAATCATCGCAAGGTCATTCAATAAAAATGGATGATTGGGCAACTAGATATCCAACTTTAGTAGACGATGTAGCAAAGGTGATCAGTCAACTTGCAAGTCAGTCATTTTACCTTTTAGAATCCTCAAATCAATTGTATCATTCTAATATTGTATTCAAATCATGATTTACAGGTTTTCAAAAACCCTATCCTCCAATCCTACATTTCTCTTCGCAGAAAATGTACACCAAGTATTCAATAACAGTGGTTTTTGCCAACTTATTAAACCTACTCATTGATGATTTGGTCAGAGTAAGTGAAGGTCCAAAAGCTGCTGAAAATATCAGAACTAGAGATTGTCGGTTAAGCACCAAGTCAATCGAAACACTTGGCATAGATGTTTTAACTTTCTCTTTTGAAGATTGGTGGAAGAATGAATTTCCACCTGAATTACCCTTGATTGACTCTTGTAAACTAACTGATATTCTTAGTGATCATGCTTTTCTATTTATTATTCTTTTTGTATGAATTGAAATATATCAAATTACCCAAAATCCTTGAGTCAAACACATGATCAAATCTTTGAATAAATTTTTGAAGATGTTTACAGTCATTTGATTCCACTCCTGATGAAGGATCATTTTTGTTTCTGATTGATCAAAACGAAAAGTGGGTTTAAAACATGTCATGTTTTATATCCAAAGTCTGCACTCACTATCATTCAATGGATACAAAAATAAACAAAAATAAAACTTCATCTTATTCTACAAGTGCAGCCCATAAACGAAGAATCTTTGAAATTCACTCAAAGCTTTCTGATACTCACCTGTCTCAAAAAATTGTTTAACAGAATGTCATTTTCATTTATCATCACGCTTGTAGGATCTTTGAAGTGAGCATTCAAAGTCATCAACTAGGATCGGAATTAGGATTAGAGAAAGATCGTGACAAATGATACAAGCTGGCTTTTGATGTCAATGTATTTGATGGGGCCCATGAAGTACCGTCACCGTTCAAAGATGGTACGGAGGCTTCTGAGGAAGCGGGTGTTAGTCAAAAAGTCTGTTGAGGAACGATGATTCTTGACTCTCTGTCACTTGGGAATGGATGCGATCATAATAACCTCAAAGGCTCGGACCAAAAATAAATCAGGGTCTTAGGCGGTTTTGATAAAATGGTGTAGTTGATTCAATCAACTTTTATCTGACAAACATTTTTTAAACAAATTAGATTTATGGAAAAACGAATAAAAAAATTCTATATACAAAGAAGGGTATAAGTATCACAGGTCTATTTACAAAAGATTGTCAATCTATTTCTTGTAACTTTGTTTTGTTTTCAAAACTCGGATTAAAAGAAAACGAATGGACTGATCATATTAATTTCTATTGTCTGGATTACTGGGTGAACGAAGTCTAAGGATTAATCTTCTAGGACGACGAGGTTCCGTGACTTGCACCTCTGGTTGGGGATCCGCTACTACTTCTTCTTGCGCTTGATCATCAACTGGATCAACGGGTGGACGAAGTCTAAGAATTAATCTTCTAAAAGGACGAGGAGGTACAGCCTCTGATTGAGTATTTTCAACTACTTCTTGATCCTCTGGAGCATTTAAGTTTCTTGAAGAACTTGTTTCAGCACCAGTTTGAGTTTCTTCTATTTTTTCTTCTTGTACCTCGTTTTTGAGTTTTTACCTCCTCTCTTTTTCTTATTTTGATTTGAATCAATTCCTTCTTCCAAAGCTCTTGATCTTAAATTAGTAGCAGCTCTTCCATCTAATCTTCTAGGTCTCAAAGCTCTTCCAGGCCTTTGTGTTGGAATTTCAGTTTGTGCTTGGATTCGAGGTGGACTTGATTCTGGCTTGTCTTGAGGGTTTGGCGGAGTGGGAGGTATAGCAGGTGTACTCCTGGTTTGAGAAGAAGTGGTAGGTTGTTCTTGAGGTGGTGGCGGAGTGGGAGGTATAGCAGGGGGGCTTATGGTATGAGAAGAATTGGTAAGTTGAGCTTGAGGTTCTTCTCGCTGCTTTGCTGGTTGAGATTTCTTGACCTGTTTAGTCTTACTCTTCTTTTTTGCTGGTAGAGTTGAGTCGTTGGCTTGATTTTTTATTTTCTTACCTTGGGGTTTCAATGCAGTTGTAGTTTGAAGATCTTGAGTCGGAGCATTGACCTCGTCTCTCCTAGATAAATTGGGGAGTATATTTGACTCTCTCGCATCATTATGAACTGACACATCCCTTGAGCTCGGGCCCAAACAAGGAGAGGATTGTCTCATAGATTGAGGTGATCTTCTTCCTCTTGCATCTACAAAACCTAATCGCCAAAGTCTCAAAGTCTCTGGACTCAATGCATGAGTGTTCCCGGAATTTGGATTTGGTTGATTTGATGGGCCTGGTGTTGCCTGTTGCTCGACCAGTCTGGCATAGTGATGAAGATCGCTACGGTTTTGGGTCGAAGAAAGCTCTTCACCGTTAGAAGAATTGCTTGTGAGTGGTGATCCACGAGAGTCGAATAATTGTATTCCTATCTGTTCGTCTTCTTCATGACTAGGAATTCTAGATTGTCCTTGCAAAGCAGGAATCTCATCTTCTGTAATTCCATCTTCTGGATTGATATCCGGTTTTTCTTCGCCACTAGAAAATCGAGGTTGTTCTTGTGAAGAAGGGAGCTCTTCTTCCATTTGTTCATCTTCAGGGTCAATATCCGGTTTTTCTTCGCCACTAGAAAGTCGAGGTTGTTCTTGTGAAGAGGGAAAATCTTCTTCCAATTGTTCACCTTCTGGATTGATATCCGGTTTTTCTTCGCCACTAGAAAGTCGAGGTTGTTCTTGTGAAGAAGGGAGCTCTTCTTCCATTTGTTCAATGTCAGTGTCGATATCCGGTTTTTCTTCGCCACTAGAAAGTCTAGGTTGTTCTTGTGAAGAGGGGAAATCTTCTTCCATTTGTTGACCTTCAGGGTCAATATCCGGTTTTTCTTCGCCACTAGAAAATCTAAATTGTTCTTGTGGAGAGGGACACTCTTCTTCCATTTGGTCATCGTCAGTGTCGATATCCGGTTTTTCTTCGCCACTAGAAAGTCGAGGTTGTTCTTGTGGGGAGGGAAACTCTTCTTCCATTTGGTCACCGTCCGTGTCGATATCCGGTTTTTCTTCGCCACTAGAAAATCTGTAGTGTTGTTGTGACGAAGGGATTTCTTCTTCCATAGGTTCACCGTTCGGGCTTATATCTGGTATCTGATCATTTAAGATTCCGTCAGACCATCCGGGTCCAGGGGTAGGTGGACGGGATTCAATGCTTTGATCTTGATGATCAGATTCAGATTTAATCGCGGGTAGATATTCGAGCGAGCTTTCAGTCTCAATAGATCTAAAACGGTTGAGTTGTTTTAGGAGATCTGGTGATGGTGATGCCTCGTCCCTGAATAGAGGCATAGTTTCTTGATGGACAGGTTGAGCAGGAGAATCATTTTCAGATTCATATTCCATTGGGCTTACAGGATCAAAACAATCGCATTCGTTGAGAGCATGAGACCCTGGAAGAAAGACAGTTTGTTCCACAAATTGGTCATGTGAATCGAGTCCAGGTTCTTGGAGCTGATTGTTCTGGAGAATAGAATGAGATGAGGAATCAAAAGAACATGCAGAATAAAAGGAAGAAACGTCAGACTTTTTATTCTCTATAAGTAGATTACGGTGTAAGGGAGTGCACTTACTTGAGGCGAGTCCGGAAGAAGATCATCCATCACTTGTTGGTGACTCGAGCTGTTTGAATGGAGTAATGGGCTATGTGGAGCCACAGTTTCTCCTCTGATAGTATGCAAGTCACTGTCAGAACTCATCTCGTTGATAGGCTCCTGCGAAGCTGGTGTATTTGATTTGATGTTGGAAAGAAAACAAAAGAGTGTTTGTTGATTTTTGGTTGAGTAAGATTGTAATATTATAATGGCAAGGATGGTGTATTTTTTCGATTAGATGCAGGTCAAGCAACAAGTTTGATGGGGTAAACTTTGATGGGAAGTTGCTGAGGACGATTTTATATCTTTCTGTCATTATATTATCATTCCTACTTTCATCTTGTCTTTTCGCATTTGATCGTAAAGATGATAATGTACAAATGCGCTTGAACATTTTCCACCAGTTCAAGATCAGACTTCACTTTTCTATCGCTTTTATGATCCCAACTATCGACTTTGCGGAAGAGAAAATTGATATAAATGGAACTTTGAGATCACAGATTTAAAAGCTTCTCACTTGAATCGCTTTTCAAGTCTTGACTCATTTCGTGAAAGTTAAGCTCTTTCCATTGGATGCTCAGATCGCCATCATATTTCGTCATCTCTGATGTGATTCCTATCACAATCTTGGTACGGTAAGAGTGTAGGAGAAGTAACTTGAGGATTCATTCCAAGGGGGAGAGAGGTGGGCTTTATATAGTCCACCATCTCTCTACAAAGTACGAATAAGGAAATAGTGGTACAACGAGAGTCGACAAGGATTTGTCGAGATACAAGTAGGTGTAAAAAGTGGAGGTGGCCGAATCCGGTACTGAAGGATTCGGTCTACAAGTAATGTCAAGCAAGTGATCGGGACGGATCTGGGTGAGATCCGTTTCGATAAGGAAAACATTGTGAAAACAATAGAAATGAAAAGTAGTTAAAAGCAGAGAAAAGCGCGTCGAGCGTATCGAAAGCGCGTACAATGAGAACAAAGGGAAATGACGAAATTAGGAATAACACCATCCCCTCCTTAAGGCCGTAAACTTCCTAGTTTACTTCGGGGAATTTTCCTTTTTCACGCCGGATGAGTTCCTTGAGAGTCGATACGTTGAGGTTGATGAGCGACGGTCGCGATGCTTCGCAGTAGTATCGCGTTGCTGGAGTCTCTGGGAGGCGAAATAAAATTCGTCGGAGGTCCCTTTAAATTTTTTAAGGCGGCATCCGTTAGTTTTGTTGTTTAATATGTGACCATTAGAAGTCATTAGGCTATACGTACCATTTGGATAGACGTCGTGGATGACGAAGGGCCCGTCCCATCTGGGATGAAGCTTAGTAGGTCTTCCTTCATATGACCGAAGGACTCGGTCTCCAGGCCTGAGGTTGCGTTCCGTGTAGCCTTCTTCTGTTTCTTTGTCTTTCTCTTTCGCCCTCTCGTTGAGTTCTTGTATAAGTTCTTGTCTTTTGACGTTGTGTTTGTGAACTGTCAAATTGCGTTGCTTATGAATTAAATCTAAGTTTTCGAAAGAGGAGTCAAACATTAGACTTACTTTCTCTGACGGTAATCTTGCTTCGCTACCGTAAGCCATGTAATATGGTGAGGCTTTCATAGAGTGGGAATAAGAAGTGCGGTACGCGAGTAAGCACGTGTTCACATACTCATCCCACAGGAGTTGGTCGTATGGGCTACAGAATTTGCGAAGTGCGTTCATGAACGTACCGTGGAATCTTTCTACTAAACCATTTGCCTGTGGGTGATAGGGTGTAGTTTTGATGTGATTTATTTTGTAGCCTTCAGTGAACTCTTTAAATTTATTGCTAAGGAATTCCGATCCGTTGTCCGTGACAATTTCGTTCGGAACACCGTGATTTAAAATGATGTTTTTCGTCATGTCAATGGCGGCTTCAGCTGAGGTAGTCTTGAGAGGATGGGCATAAGACCAGCCGGTACCGTAATCTATGGCAGTGATGAGATATTGGTTACCGTTAGCCGTCTTCGGTAATGGTCCTACAAAATCCATACCCCAGCGTCTGAAGGGCTCACCTCTTAGGATTGATTGAGTAGGTAAATAATGTTGTTTAGTTGTCTTAGCGGCGAATTGACATGCGCTACATAGTGAGATTGCTTCTTTAACAGTTGATGCAAGCTGTGGAAACCAATAGCGTTTCTTGACAGCTTCGATAACGTCCTTTTCATTCCTGTGACCTAGATCTTCATGTACGCTGAAGGCTAGAGCTAACGCGTCAGCTTTGTTAGTTGGCACGGTATAAGGTCCGGCATTCTCATCCGTTGCATCGTATTTGATTAATACGCCGTTGCCTAGATCAAAGGTTCCATCACCAATGAGAGTGCGGTCAACTCCTGCTTCGAGTTTGAGTTTGTATTGAATTAATTCGGTGTAAGCATCCTTTTCTTGATCAATATTAAATAAGGCGTTTGCTGTTTCAGGAGGGTCAGGATCAGATTCAGTGTTAGGTTTTCTAGACAAAGCATCCGCGGCGAGTTGTTCTTTACCTGGTCGATAGATGATGTATGCGTCGAAGAATTCGAGTTCATCTACGAAACGTGCAAGTCTTCTGTTAATATGCTTCTGTGTCTTGAAGTATTTCAAGGACTCATGGTCAGTCCTAACTAAAACTGGCGAACCTTCTACAAAACCTCTAAAGTGCTTGAGTCCGTGAATGATAGCCAACAACTCTCTCTCTTGCGCAGAATAGTTCTGTTCGGTCTTTGAGAGTTTCCGTGATTCAAAAGCAATAGGTCTGAGGTTACTATTTTTAAGCTTCTTCTGGTAGTCGATGTAATCAAAACTTACATCTCTTGGTACATCGACGGCGGTATCCTGTTGCAATACCGCTCCAATATTAGTTCCAGAGGCATCTGTGTCTAGAACAAAAGGTTTGAATGGGGTCGGGTGTTGTAGTGTGGCCGTTTCTGAGAGTGAGATCTTGAGTTTCTCGAATGATTCTTGTTCTTCCTTCCCCCACTTGATAGGCGAGCCGGGTTTAGGCGAGCCTTCAGTTAGCTTATAGAGGGGTGAAGCAATCATTGAGAACTTCAAGATAAAGCGTTTGTAGTAAGTACAGAGATTGAGAAATCCTCTGACATGCGAAATGTTTGAAGGAACGGGCCACTCAACAATTTTTTTAATTTTGTCAGGGTTGGTGCGGATTCCATTTCCGTCCACGATGTGGCCCAGGAAAAGAAGAGATGGTAAACCCCATTGGCATTTTTTACCTGACACCACCAAGTTGTGCTCATTCAGGATCTTGAATAACATCTTGATGTGTCCTTCATGCTCGGCTTCTGATTTTGAGTAGATTACGACGTCATCTAAATAAACAAGTGCAAATTTGTCAATAATATCCTTCAAGATATCATTCATCATTTCCTGAAAAGTGGCTGGAGCATTACATAAACCAAAGGGCATCACTTTCCATTGGAAGTGCCCTTGTCTGCAAGTGAAAGCGGTTTTGTCTTTGTCCTCGTCCGCCATTTGAACCTGCCAAAAACCAGATTTCAAATCGATAGTAGAGAATACTTTAGCGTCTTTGAGGAATAGATATGCATCGTCAATGCGTGGAAGGGGATATGCATTTTTCCTAGTCACCTTGTTTAAAGCGCGATAATCCACGCACACTCGAGTGCTACCGTCCTGCTTTTTAACCAACAACAGGGGAGAACTCCAGGGTGAATCCGTTTTTTCAATGATACCCTGTTTAAGACCTTCTTCAACAAATTGATTAATCAGTTCATGCTCAGGAGGAGTAAGTGGGCGGCCGTGCGATTTGATAGGCTTACCGTCACCTGTGTCAATGTAATGTTTATATTTCCTCTCGTGGATTTCAATTTCATCTTTGAAGCAGTAAGGTGCGATCTTCTTTGCCGATTCGAGGAGTTGGTTACCAAAAGATCCGTCTTCAATTCTGAATAACTTTGGTTCGTCAGATCGTGGACCAAAGGAGAAAGTCTTATTACCAACTTTGGCGTCCACCATGTATACTCCTGTCTTGAAGTCGATGCGAGGATTGTACTCCTTGAACCATGGGAGACCCAAGATTAAGGAAATGTTGGGCAAGGGCAATACAAAGGCTTCGACTTCGAAAAAGAAGGATCCATTCTTCTCGTGGTGGTCCATTTCGACCTGGAAGACTGCGACCTTATTAGCAATTTCTTGAGCGCCATTAGCTAATCTAACACCACGACCTTCCACAGTCTTGATTTTAATACGGTGTGGACTCATTTTTTTCATGGCGTTGAGTCTTGACTCCGAGATGTAATTCGCAGCGGCACCAGTATCCAGGATAGCATCCACTGGCATGTTCCTGAAATAACAAGGGTAAATGGGTAAGGAGGTGTACTTAGTTTCATGAGCTGCTAAGTCGACCATGTTGAGTTCAATGATCTCTTTTTCTTCAGGTTTAGTCAAGTCAATCATGTTGAGCTCAGGAACTTCTTGTTTTTCTTCATCAATATGGAACAGGTCCCATATCTTCCCTTCTTCGAATTCTTCTAGTTCTTCTTCACTATCTTCAAGATCGATAATGATTTTGTTGGTCTCAATTGAATCCACAGCCCAGATGATTGGGTCCTCTATGTCTTCGTTGAAGCCCGACATAGTTAAATCTTCGAATTTCTTTGCTTTGAATGTAGTTGCAAGGATCTTGTTCCAGGTTTCAACGTTCTCTAGTTCTTTTTCAGGTGAAATGAATTGTTCCTTTTCTTCGACTGGAGAGTTGAAAGGAGTGCTGGTGTACTTGTAACCATCGATTAAGCTGCGGTCGAGTTTAATCTTCTTGTCAAGGCGGCCATTGATGAACTTTTCTAGGTTCATGTAATATAATTCATTGACTCCATTTGGATCATGGGCTGGTAAGACTTCGACTTCTGGACTGGTTTCTTCTCGAGTACGTTTCGTGGGACTGTTAGGTAACTCGTGAGGTTCTAAGTCGAAGTACTCGATACCTTTGGAGACGGTGGGAGGACTGTCTTCGCAACCGTAAGCGTAACAAGTTTCACAGCATCTGACAGTGCCTCCAGAAACCTTTCTGAATAGTTCCCTGACAGCATCGCGTTCTTTCTGAAGGTCGAGGAAATCTTCTTGCTTCATGTCCTTCAACGCTTCAAGGTAATTGCGTTGGTACTCAGCCAGGGCTTCTCTTCCATCTTCACAAGGTCCGTCGAGGCTCTCAGTAGATTCGCGAGAGGCTTGAAAAACTTGACCGTTGGCATCTTGGAACGGGGTCGTGAAAGATGTGAACTCCTGTAATTCATGATCTTGAAAAGGTGCTACGAACTCGGGTTCGCGAATAGGTTGGACGAGTTCCATTAGAAGGAGGTTGGGTTTTCTTCGATCTCCTCGAGAGTTGTTGCTTCGAGAATCCTTGTGGTTCGGGGTTTTCTTTGTGCAGTTTCGAGACATGTGTCCAAACCCATGACACTTATAACATTCAACCTTGCTTAAGTCGGCCATGTCCAGTTCCATTGGTACGGCAGAACTAGTGCTTACAGGTGGTTTTCCAAAAGGAACAGACGAGCGGCGGTTTTGAAAGTTGATATAGGGCTTCTGAAAGTTAGACTTGCGATCTGAGATGAATTTTCGCTCATTGGGTTGAATCTTGCGTTGGTTGATCCGCATGTTTCTTTCGCTTTCGCGGGCGGCGGCGTATAAAACTTCCATGTCCTTGTCTTTCTTGTATTCAGTTTTATTGATATCTTGTCTATGAGAGGCTGGGAGTTTATCGAGGAACAAGTAGGATCTTTCGAAGAAAGGAAGGTCTTCTTCGGGGATTTGGCAGATGAGTTTTCGGAATCGAAGGATGTACTCGCTGACGTCGCCTTTGTAGAAGCAGAGTTTGAGTTTCTCTCTGACTTCTTCTTTGAGCATACCACAGCTATACTTGGCAAGGAACTGATGGCGGAAGTCTTGGTAGTCGGTACAGGTTCCGCCGTTGGCCGTGTCTCGTACTTGATGCCAGAACATCCGGCTTTCTTCGTCGAGATAGTTGCCAATCATCTCACCCCAATCAGACTCAGGGTAACGATGGGTTCTGAAGTTGGATTCCAATTCTGAAATCCATAAGTCGGCGTTATCGCCAAAACCGCCGAATTTGCGCGGTTCCGCGCGAAACGCGTCAGGCTTCAAGGGAGCAGGTTGAGTCGAGCGAGTGTGATGGTTCTGCTCGAGCTGGTGGATGTGGTTCTGAGCGTTGGCCAGATCTTGATGGTTTTGCTGGTTTTGGTTACGGAGCTCGGCGATGGCTTGAGCTTGGGCTTGAGCATCCGAGTTGTTTTGTTCAAGCTGGGCCTTGATGAGCCTAAGGTCCTCAGCAGAGATTTGAACATATCCATGTGGATCTTCCATCATTTTCTATACGTTGAAAAGGATAATGGAAAGGTTATTATGATAATAAACAAGACTTGATCAGAGTCTCAAAAATACGTACTGGTATTTTTATAATTTCTTCAACAAGAAATCGATAGAACTGGGTCTATAAGGGTTTTTTTAGAAAAACTGTTTGATAAAGGGGTGGTTCTGTGTGCAGTAGGATAGAGAACGTCTATCAGAGATTCTAACTAATCTAAAGAGGAATCGAGAAGGATTTGGATAACTAGCTAGGAAATCTAAAAACTTACGAAGGGATCTATTGGGGATTTTTGGGTACTTCTGTTGGATTTTAACTTTCCGATAGGGGATCTACGAAATAGAAAAGGTTTACAGAAGTAAGCAGAAAGGAATAGATCAATATCTCTTAGATATCAAGGTGCGTGTTGATAAGAAGTTAGAAAATAAAAATAACACACAAATAATTATTTGTGATTCCTATCACAATCTTGGTACGGTAAGAGTGTAGGAGAAGTAACTTGAGGATTCATTCCAAGGGGGAGAGAGGTGGGCTTTATATAGTCCACCATCTCTCTACAAAGTACGAATAAGGAAATAGTGGTACAACGAGAGTCGACAAGGATTTGTCGAGATACAAGTAGGTGTAAAAAGTGGAGGTGGCCGAATCCGGTACTGAAGGATTCGGTCTACAAGTAATGTCAAGCAAGTGATCGGGACGGATCTGGGTGAGATCCGTTTCGATAAGGAAAACATTGTGAAAACAATAGAAATGAAAAGTAGTTAAAAGCAGAGAAAAGCGCGTCGAGCGTATCGAAAGCGCGTACAATGAGAACAAAGGGAAATGACGAAATTAGGAATAACACTGATAGCAATTTCGTTTCATTGTCACCGGATGGCTTCAAATGACTCTAAGTTTTTCGTGCTCTGTAGGTCAACATCTCCCGATTACTAATACAACGACTTGAAGATTATCAGATGAACTGATCGTAAATGCTCAGATTGGAACTGGTCGCGTCATTTCTGATAACAAAATTGTTCAATCGTGAACAAATGGTCTGAGCTAATGACACATAAGTTTTTCGTCCTTTCTCTGTCGATATCTCTGAAGTCCAAAGAGTTGAACATCACCTGATGTACTCATAATGTACTAATCTTGCCGCAAAGCTTTTCTCATCCGTCACATGGACGGCCGTTGGCGTGAGTCGTCCTTCATTATACGTTGATCATGACTATCTTCCACGATGATCACTGGCTTGAAAAGTTCGATTAAGACAAGACGCCAGTCATTGCAGTATCTGTTGCAGAGCATATGGGGCGCTATGTAAATGATCTGATAGCCAATCGTCTTACTCACAGGCACTCCAGTATCTTTGAGGCTGAAACGTGATCATGGTCGGTTCCCCTTCATTCCTTTTTTACGTTTGAATGTTCTAAAATGCGTGCTCTCATAGGACACTTTATATCGCATGGCCGTCATGTGTTGGAGGCTTAGTACTGCTTGGGGGCGGCTTTTCAAGAAAACCCAGCATGTTAGGCTTTCAAACCTTCTTTCACCGAAGTATCGAAATCCCGCGAAAAACGTGATTGATGTACAGATTTTTGATTTGTATAATATCGCAGCGCTCATGTGTGGATGGGACTAGCATACGTGGTGACCCCAGTAGCGTACTGAAAGCAATCTCTTTGGAGCGTTTCCATACAAATTTTGATTGGAATCGGCTTCTGCCCATATTTCACTATAGTAAGCAGGCCGATACATATTTGCTGCCACGATCTCGTCTCAGGGTGCTTAGTTGATACCTCCTCCAGGAGAGCTTCAGCTAGAACGATCCAACACATAGCCACACGTTTCCTGAAAAGCGTTTGCCAGTACATACAACGGAATTGTAAAATATCGAGCGCGAATGCGTCGATGCATGCGACTCGAATTCCTGACGGTGACTATGAACGAGCCGCCATAAGAGGTGAAGGCCGATTGATAATATTTGGCCCCTTGGAGGCTCTTCTTATCTTTCTTCACCAAGTCATCTCTACTTTGAGCGGTTGAGAGGTATGTATGATGTAATAGGAAGTGATACTGAAAGGGTGGTGGTATGTATGTACAGGTGATGATGGTGAAAATTCTCCGCTCTCGGGCGAGTAGCGGACATCAGCAAGTTCTTGAGTTCAACCGTCGTAAATTGTTTTATGGTTAGATTCGCTTGAAGTTCGCCTCAGCTGAAGACGAAGAGCTGCATGTTCACCCATGTTGTATGTACACTTTCAATCTGTTTGGGTTTTGGATTTACCAACTTTCCTTTTCCTTTGAGCAGTTAGCCAGTAAATTAGAAATAATAATGATGTGATGGCCCCCGTTGTAAGCAGTTTACACGATTTGGACGATCCTATCTTCATCACCACTCAAACTCCTTGATGTTTAGCCTTCAACTTAACACAACAGGGGCATCTGCTGATATCCCCACTTATCCCTTGACCTGTACGTCTACCAGCTGGATTATTTTTTTCAGATCCATTGTGGCTATCAAAATTGACCTATTTTCGTTTCGGAACCTAAGTCTTCGTTTGTGCCCTCCCAGCTCAGTTTGGTAGCTCGTTTCCTGTGGCGGCTTTGCGCGATTAAGCTTCACTATATCCAAGTATTTTAATCTGTAGTTATTTTTTGAATCTTGTGCTTTTTCATCTTGATCATTTTCAAGGACTCTTGGACCAAATCGATTTGTCACTTGGAAGTTATTCAGACAACTGTTGTATACTCCGTCGATCACGCTCGATCATCAATTTTGATCAACTATACAAATATCTGATCGAACTCAGAATTGCTCGACCGATACTTCGTTACTTTCAACATCATGACCGACTCGCAAGATAAAGCACGCAGCCAATCGGTTCGCGAGCCTTCCAATGAATTCCGTCGTGTTTCAATGCTACTCGAAGCGTCGCCGCCCGACATGGGATATCGACACCCTTTGATCCAGATCGTTATTGTATCCATGGTCTGTTTTTGTTGCCCAGGTGAGGTAGTTTGAGATTATGATGCTCAATATGACATGACGTATTCTGACTTCTTTTCCCCGATTTGCTTGCTCATGTTGGTCTATCTAATTATACCTTACAGGTATGTTCAATGCATTGAGCGGCCTCGGAGGTGGAGGTCAGATCGACGCGACCACGGCCGATAACGGTACGTAAACGTTTCTAGGCCACTCCTAAATGCAAAAGCCTTGATTTTGAATTGTGTTAAACTATTGCTGATGTACGAAATCCGACATTTTCAACTCGCGCGTCTCAATAGCCAATGTAGCCCTATATTCTACCTTTGCCACTACTGCCTTTTTGTCAGGTACGATCGTTAATAAACTTGGCCCCAGGTTATCCTTATCGATTGGGTGAATTTTCGACTCTTTTCGTCATAACTTTTAAAGAATTATTACGCCACTTCAATTTCCGGCTGAAATGATTGAATTTGTGTATTGCAGGTCATTGGGTTATACATTATTTATAGGCTCGTACCTATCTTACAACATAAATCAAAATAGGTGAGCTCTTCTCAATATTTGAACTTGAGTGCAAACACTGATGAGGGAAATGTTCAAAAACAACTAGCGGTTTCGTTATTGCAGCAGGCGCTATTCTGGGAGTGTGCGCGGGCTTGCTATGGACAGCGCAGGGTTCATTGATGCTAGCTTATTCGACCGAAGCTACCAAAGGTCGATACATTGCGATGTTTTGGATCATCTTCAGTCTCGGTTTGTGCTTCCCCGCTCTGAAATTTGATCATTGTCTTTTATATGCGAAAAATCACTGCATAAATTTGATAAGGATATCTATTCTATCTGCTGTTTTGAAAATATACGTACTCCAGGGGCTGTACTAGGCGAAGCCGTTGCACTTGGTCGATTTCACGACAGCCAAACTGTGAAAATATCTTTTCATCAAAAAATCTTTGAACTACCGAACCTGATGCGCATGTGGTATTTTTACTTAATTAGGATAGTCCCGTGTCAAATTCAGTTTACATTGCTTTCCTCGCCATCACATTATTTGGTTCGGCACTTACTATGACGCTCGCTTTGCCTTCAACGGTCCAGCGAGCTGATGGGAGTTGGGTAACATTAGACCAAAATCCAGGATGGAAAGACGAAATTCGAGCAATGATCAAGACGTTGACTAAGGATCCTACAGTGTTGCTTCTTTTCCCATTCTTTTGGGCAAGTAATTGGTGAATGAAGATTCGATTCACGTTTTATTATTCTATCTTCCCCCATACATAGCTGACGGTGTGAATTTCAGGTTTTACACTTATCAATTCAACGATTACAATCTTGCCCTCTTCAATCTTCGCACTCGATCACTCAATGCGCTGCTTTATTGGCTTTCACAGCTATTTGGATCAGGATTGTTCGGACTTTTACTGGATTATTCATCTTCATCGGCAAGAAATCCAATCTCTTCACGTCGGAGTCGCGCATTCTTAGGTTGGGGCATCTTGACGGCGATCATATTTGGGACTTGGGGCGGTGGATGGGTAGTCCAAAGGACTTATGAGCGTGGAACTGTATCAGTCAAGATGGATTGGTCAGATCCAGATTATGTGGGGAGAGCTTGGCTTTATATCTCCTATGGTCAGTTCTTTTTATCTGAGATTCAAAACTTTTCTTTTTCAGTTTGAGTATATCTTGTCTCTGAATCTTTCTTGATACTTAGGGATCAGCGATGCTGTTTGGCAAACTTTCGCCTATTGGTTGATAGGAGCCTTGAGCAATGATCCTAGAGATTTATCTTCATTTGTGGGATTCTACAAAGGTTATTATCTGCTTATTTTGTTTACCTTTTACCATTTCTCCGAAGACTGGCTGACGGGAGTTTCTTTGGGTCCATTTTCGTGTGACTAGGAATTCAATCCGCTGGAGCAGCAGTTGTGTTTCGCATTGATGCAAATAAAGCTTCCTATCATGCGATCTTCATTTCTTCTTGGGCAGTATTGGCCCTTGGTTTACTAGGAGTACTACCTATCTTAATAATGAGAATCCAGGTGAGTGTATGTGATCTAAAATAACGAAAAACCAAAGTTTTTGACTTGATCGTACTTTTTCACTCTTAGAATCGCTCACGTAGAAACCCACATTTCGAGTTTGATCCAAAAATTCCAACCAATCGTAAATCAGGAGAAATTTCACAAATCAATCCAAGAATACCCATAATACCTAATGCTGAAGGTTAAAAGTTGCATAAAACTTCAAAATTAAATTTAGAGATTGGAAGAAAATTCACTTCTTGTTTGTTTAGGAGACTCAACTTGTCACTGGTGAACAAGTTTGACTCAATTGTTGTTATATTAATGTTTTACACCCATGTGAAAACAGTTTATGAGAAAGAAGAAATGTTTGGTTTAGTTTGATTAAAATATATAATTTCAATTTAATAAGATTTATGCACAATCGTCATGAATGTTAACCAGATTTTTGGGGCAAAAGCGACCCGCGGCCACCAGAACTTGGATTTCTCCGGAAATCAGTATTGGTTGCCTATCTTTGTCGTGAGACCATTTTTAAAAGACTAAGATAATCATCACTATTTCAACAGCGAAGTTGTTATAAACTTTCATTGGATTGTATCTTAGGGTGGCGTCAAGCTCATCTCGTTGTTCTTTATCTTTCAACTCAAAATTGAAAAGTCCTTTCGGCTTCTCTCTCAGCTTCAGGGCAAATTATCACTCTGCCTTTTCGATCAGACCAATTAATCTTCAAGCGATTTTTGCTCGCTCTCGGTGGTATCATATATCTGATTAGCTTAACTTCATCACAAAAGTTAGCATCGACATAACATTGTTCAAATAATACTTGAAGGATCGTTTTGATATCATCCAGATCATGATCAAGCGGGTCTAACCACACTTGTTTTGTCTAACTGAATCATAATTTTGATGTCGTGAAATGTTTGATCCTCTATGGTTTCTAGTGCTGAGAAGCGTAAGATGTTGCACCGGGTATTTCGCAGGAATCTCACTTCAAGAGATGAATTTCTTGTGCTGTGGAAACCAAGTAAAAAAGTTGAAATATTTGGTTTTTGACAAGATATCTGGATTACCACCAATGCCAAGATTCCAATAGTACCCTCAAATCCCAGATTGGGTGAGTTTTGTGGCTTGGCATCAATTTTCTAGAGAAAAATTTGCTGGTCCAAAAGTTTACGCTTCTTGACACCAGCGAGAATAGTCATATATGATTTCCAAAGAAGTTAGGGTGATCTGGTTAGCCAGTGAATGTAGGATGGCAGAATGGGCATATATTCTTTGCTGCCCTGGACCGCTTTTGCCTAGGAGAACTCTCCCGGTCTGTGCTGGCAAGATATAAATACTAAAGTTGCTATTCCCAACTTTCTTTGCTTCAACAGCTACAAGCAAGACATGTATGCAATAAAAAGGTTGCCAAAAAGTTTGTGGTGCTGAAGCAATAGAGGAAAAAGAAACAAGTGATAATCAATCATATATTGACCAATAATTTTTGTGACTCTATATAACCCTTGGATCAGCAACAGGCAGATTAAGGTCTTCAAAGACCAATCACATTTCCAAATTGGGTAAGAAGGCTCGACAAATGAAGAGACTGGCAGACAAAGGGGAATTTCTAGCCTCATCAAGTTTTAATCTAGCCAAGTAAAAGCCTTTTTTGTACTTGTGTACTCAAGATTACTTATCTTAACACCAGCCCTACCCACCAGAGCTTTATAATTATGGTATAGAACTTGGTTAGAAAACAAGAAGAAAGACAACAAATTGCTATCCTAGTTGTGAGATGTGGGTAGCGGGAGCCAGAGCTGGAGGTCTTGAAGGGTTCTTGATAATTTTCAAGATCACCCGGTGTCCGTTTGATTTCTTTCAATCACCTTCTAGACACTCAAAACTTGTACAAATTATCACTTCTGAACCCCAGTTCAGTCAAACATTTTTGGTAACCACCGGATTCTAAAAGCAGGTGGTCTCAGGTTTTATATGCGGGCACTTTTTAGCAATCAAAGCTCTTGAACTGGTTCCACATGCTGCAGGTGTGGAAAGTGTGTTCACCAAGATGGGATCCACAAAAAGAATGTCTCAAAAAAATGTTGATGACAAACCTGAAGATGGTCACACAGATTGAAATACAAGTTCAAGCCAAGGACTCTGCGCAAAAGGTGGACAATGAAGATGTGGCCAAAATCACCTATGACAACAAGTTGAACTCTGGACTCTTTTCAATTTTGATAATTTCACTATGTACCCAGACAGCTGCTGGTATTGTTCAGTTACATACAGAAGACACAGATCAAGAAAGCAATGGTGATTAATGGAGTGCAGAAGACCCGTGTAAAATTGTTTTTATTTTTGCTGCTTCTTTTTTACAAAAAAAGTGCGCCTCTTTTGCCCTTAATCCGTGTACTCAGCCAAAAAGTGAGCGCGCCCAGTGTAGAAGTTAAGGCCCCGTTTGGCTGCCTTTGACCTTGCTGGCGTAGACTTGCGAGGTGTCTGCCTGCGGATCCGCAGGTAGACCATGTCTGCCACAAGGCGTGTACCAGGGTTTGGTGCATTTGGCAAACTCGACTTGAAGTGTACTTGACCTTGAAACTTATGGGTTTTCTCCCTTTGCAAGATCCGATGTCGCGCTCCTGGTTTCAGGTCTATGGGACTAGCCAGGTCAACCTGCAAGATTTGACCAAAACGTCAAACCTGGCAGGTCAACAAATTTGGCTGGCTGACCTCGAGGTAGACGCCTCAAAGGTTGACTGCGGCTTCTGTACCAAACAGCAGAACTTCAAGTGTACACTTCAAACTGCCTCAAAGCATACACCTGAGATTTTGGCTGGGTCAACCTGCAAGGTCGGAGGCAACCAAACGGACTCTAAAGCTTAACAAGAGCTTTACAGAGCTTAAAGAGGGACAATCTACTAGTATAGCTAACTAATAGAAGTTGAATGAAGACTGCCTCTTTGGAAGAATCAACTTGAGAATTTGCCGACTTCTTTAGGATAAGGCACCAGAGGAATATTTAGCAATACTTAGTTCAAGTATCATTCCCGTGATTTTGATACAAGAGAAGAACTCAACACTGCTATACTATAGTGTTATTCCAATTGATCATGGCAAAACCACAATTTTATTAACCAAAGACAAGCAACAATTGATTGGATTGTTATTTCAATGAAGACTATATAGTCTTATCACACATAACAACATTTCTCCTTTGATACAAAGGCGCTATTTAGTGAGCTTAGTACTGATAAACTAATTTGATCATGATTAAAAACATTCTAACATAATTATAAGATGTAAAAAAGGGGGAAAAAGCCTGCAAACCAACCATCCATAGTATATATCATCCTTTCAAACTTTCAACAATGGTAAACAACCTTCAAAAACCAACAAAAACTTGACAAAATCCCTCAAAAACCTCAAAAACCCCTCTGATGTAATCATATGATGTAGTTATTACTAATGAATGACATGGTTTAAGCTGTGGAATTGATCAATTGGATTTTATAGAGGATGGAAAAATCTTCTCATGAAGAATAATGGTGATTTTTCCCTAATACTCATAGCTGAAAACCATTTTTAGAAGTACAAATTTTCTGTAAATTTGTCCAATTTTGGATTACTGTAGCTCATTGTATAGCTCACTTGATGCTGATCAATATTCACCCCAATATGACCTACTTCTGATGTGTAATGATTATTTTATTGAGCTGTAGAGATTGATAAAATAAGCTTTTTGTCATGTAAATGTTGCTACATGTGTGTATGTAAGCACATAAGTCAAAATTCACACCATTTCCTTTGTTTCCTTATAGCTTTTTCTCAAAACCTCTGATGATATACTTTTTCAGGTTGTATATTATGAAATAACACATATCACGTTGATTGGGCTATTCCCCATTATGATCTGACAAGTTTTGACATATGAAATTATCTGAAAACCGTTTTTGACCATTTTACCCATCATCACCTCTTTTCACTTCTGATATCGATTTCCGCTTCATCATAAGATCATTGTAGATCAATCCATTCATAAGAATAACTCAAAAACCATTATAAAAGTATTGGCAACCAATAAATCCCTCAATGACATCATTAAACATGAATAAAGCCTGCAGTACCCTTGTTTACCATCCTCAATTTTCCCTCTTTCTTGGATAATTTCACTTCTCTCTTATCAACCCTCATCATTAAAGTGCTTGCTGACTAATATTATCATTCAATTTTACATCATAACCTTCTTGAACCCTCAAATCAATTATCAACACCCTACAAACCATTTTCCAACACTTTATACCTATAGTTTTGACTTTTTCTTCTTTCATTCCTCTCATAACAGATTTGATTCTTTTGAATATGAGCTAATTAATATCCTTGCTCATCAATTCCATTCTTAATAATAACTCTTTGATCAATTCTTACTAATGTACTATTTTTATGATTTTTCAATGTTATCTTATCTGCTAAATGCTCTTATCAAACCATGTAATTCATATATGAATGGAATGATAATGATAAAATGATTTAAAACAACCTTCTGACCCCTGCTGACCATCTACATCATTAAAAAAATTGTCTTTGACTAAAAACACAATTTTACCACATAATTTTCAATTTTTTGCTTATATAATAGCGGGGTTCAAGTCAAAATAATTTGGACCTAAAATGACTTTTAGACATTGCTCAAAGGTTGTAAATTATAACTCATGTTTTATGACTTGCAAGTAGCTTTATAGCTACTTGCAATGTCTAAAATTATATGACAATAGGGAGGCTCAAGTCAAAATATTTTACTACTTTTATTGTAAAAAACTTTTCCCAATTGCATAAAATTTACGCAAAAGTTTATGAAATTGGGAAAAGTTTTACAACATCCCAAATTTTTTTGAGCAGCAAATTTACGCAAATTTGCGTAAATTGACTGCTCAGAAGGAGATCCAAAAGAAATTTTTACAGTCCTTTTTTACAAGTTGGGAAAAGTTTTTACAGCAAGGTACTGTAAAAAACTTTCCCCAATTTTTTAAGAAAAGGGCGCAAATATTTTGACTTGAGCCCCCTTAATGCCTATAATTTTAAGACGAGTGGTTTGTTTTTAGGATTGAGAAAAAAATACCGTCTTTTTTTGTTTCAAGAAAAGGCGTACGAGTAGTTTTTTTCTTCCCTAATGGTTGTTTTTTTTGTCCTTCTCTCTTGTTGAGTCCATAAAAACAGATAAAATGCACTTTTTTCCAGCACTTGTACCTTTGTCTCAAAGCTTTTCTTCTTCTTGTTATAAGATGTGGTGACCTATTTTTAAACCATTCTTACGACGCCCAAGTCGGTTTTAGGTAAAATTTTTCCTAAAAAACTCTCTCGGATGCTGTAAAATTCCTACTTGGAATTTTTGACTTGAACCCCGCTATTGGATGTGTCTTTTTAAAAAGAACATGCCTGCCACATGAGTCACAGCCTTAGGTGTAACATGACATATGACAAACAGAAGACGGTTGATTTTATGCAATTATTATGGTACAATAACTCAATTCCGTCAAATTCACATCAACTTCTACTTTCTTAATCACCACCCACATGCAGTTGATTATTCATAGATGAATGTGATTAATCAATACCAAGCTTGATATTTATGGTCATATCCTCAGCTTCATGAAGCTGAGGATATGGGGTTTGTGATCACAAACCCCTCTCTGCACAGCAGCGGCCACACCCTCACAGAGGGGCTTATGACTAATTGTTGATTTCTGGTGTGACACTCCAGAGATTAAGTCTCCTTATGTAGTTTTTTGATATTTCTTGCTCCCCTCACTGATGAAATCCTCCCTACCCTGTAGACAGACTGACTTATTCAGAAACATTTTCTACATGTGTTTTGACCTTTTTTAGTCAAGAAATCCTGATCTATCATGCACTTCTTGAAGTAAATGTTCACACCTTATAATGACCCACCTGTAAAGGGGTGTACAGGTGTATTCTTATTGTACAAGTGCTTCCGGAAAAGATACAACACATTTGTTGGGGCTGGTGGAGTAAATGCGTTGTATCCTTTCCCAAAGCACTTGTACATGAATTTAGGATCTCAAAAGGCCAAATTGCAAGTGGGCTTGTAATCATCTTCAGACCAATTGCTTGTCTTTGCTACTTGGAGTGTCTATAATATGAGGCTTCAAGGATGTGTAGAAGATCATTCTGAACATTGTCCCTGTGGTATCAAGTGAGGTTTGTTTGTGAGGGAAGTGCCAAAATGCAAAGAACTACATAGCAACACTTAAATCTTGGAGTGTTCACGCCAGAAGTTCACAAGTATATAGTCTATGCCCCTCTGCAAGGGAGCAGAGTCCAGACACAGCCATGCAGAGAGGGCTTTGTCAAGCAAAGTTCCTTGTTCATTCAAAAACCATTCATCATCCATCCATGCATCCAATTTATTTAAAACTGCTTTGTTTTTTTTCAAACAGCACACTCATTATACTTTATGTAAATGAATTCCAATTCCAATCCAATCATTTCCTTTTTCTTACAAAATACTACAAAAACAAAACCTATTACATGATTCCCATTGATTATTATCATTATTACTATTTTTGAAAACAAAACTCATTACTTTATAAATTCCAGAAATGAAAACCAAACTAAAAAGAAAGACTTTTCCAGATTTTTCAAAGCACCCCATTCAAAAAAAAAACAAATTCCAAAAACAAGAACCCTACCCCCCAAAAAACACCAAAACCAAATCCATAAGCCTTTTTTGCGTGAACAACCAAGAAACCACCAAACACTAAGATTTTTTTATTGTTTTTTTCAAGTTTAATGATCATTTTAAAGACTGTTCTAAACCTAATCCATCCATAGAATTTCTCATCAACAGTTTTGAATTTCTAAAATTCCTTTGATGGAGTAAACCAAATTTGATGGTTAAATCTTCTTCTTTCTTTACATTCAATTTTGGATTTGTTTCTTGATTTTTAATTGGAAATTGGTTTAAGAATTGAATTGAATGACTATTGACATCCAATAATCTAAAAAAAACCAAAAAAAATGTAAGAGAATCCGTTAAGAAACAAAATAATTCAAAACATATGAGGGAAAAAAGGCTTACTTCAATCTGTACTGAGGAGGTATAAGATTTTTACCAAACTGACTATAAACCCACCAAAAAAAACCCATCCCAATTTCAAAAAAACAAATTTATTTCCACTTCTCTGGCTTCAACCCTCTCAAAAAGAAAAAAGGAAAAAAGACAAAAACGTACCGATCCACATGATTCGAACACAACAATCCAATCACAATATTCAACATATGTAAACTTGCAATCCAAAAAGCCACTCGAGTAAACGAATCTAAACTATTAGTTTCATACTTAAATAATTTTCCTTTGCAACCTACTAATCTAACTCTAGGATAACATTGAGAAGAAAAAGTAGCTTCATCTAAAACGAAAAACGCCCAAAGTTAACACCAAGCATAATGCTTTTCGAAACCCACAAAAAAGAGTGATGTTTTTCTAAGTACAAGAAGTTCACTTACGTAACGGATTATAATACCCACAACACTTCAAGGCATTCTGGATCCTCAACCTATCTAACGGATCATAAATCTCACTCCAAGCTTGATTCAATTTCAAATCTAAATTCAATGAAACCCGTTTGTACGCCAGATAACCAATCACCAACACACAAGCTAAACTTGGCCAAAGCATTAAATTATAAATCGTTAAGATCTTGCGAGAGTGTAGGATCGTTCCGGTTAGACCGGTTAGACCGGTTAGAAGACATACTGAACTGGCTGCTGTGAGCCCTTTTTTGGGGGAGAAGATGATCAATTTATGAAGGGGTTTTTGATTGTAAGATTTCAACGTGTTTTTTTTGTAAAGAGAGTGGAAAGTTGACTTACATCTTAATACATCTGGATCAGCTACTTGTACCACATCTGAATTTTCCAAAGCTATACAAAAAAACAAAAAAAAATGCACGTCAGAAATCACCAAAATCTAACAAAAAATCTAAGTTAAGATCTGATTGTATATAAATAGACAAATTAAAAACCAATTCTCATACCTCTAAACCAAAACAAAAGTGAATAAATCAATCCAATCAAAGCATAAACCATGACCGAACTGACACTCAAAACCAAAGCGATCTTAAACTTTGTAATTTTTTCATGGTCTTGGCTTTGGATCATCTCATCAGTCTGACCTTTTTCGGTTAAATTCAAAACCGGTGTATTAATCACCCCTTTACTATTATTAAGATGATGATCATAAGAAGGTAAACTAGTTGAATTACTTTTGATAGATTTAGATCTAAAGTCTGGAAACTTATTCGCATATCTTAAAGAAGTAAACAAAGATAAAGAAACTTGATGATGATCGATAGATGATGAAGTTTCTTTCGTATTGTTTAGATCAGTTGTTGATGATGATTTGGATTGAGTTGATAAAGCTTGAGTGTAAATCGAATTATGTCTTGAATCGAATTGAACATTTGTAGAAGAATTTAAACTGATTCTAGATTTCGAATTTCGGTTTCGATTGGAATGATTAGGTGTAGGATAATTCGTGAGATTGGGATCATTAGATTCATGATGACTTTGAGTTGAATTAAAAGTAGTTTCACGAAATTGTCGAATTCTTGAAAACCTGGTACATGTATCCAAAAAAACCAAAATCAAAATCAAAATCAAAATCTGATCCGTAACAACTGAGCCTTCAAAACAAGAGAATGATAAAAGAGGATATCAACTTACAAACTTTCTTTACCTAAACTATGATCATTTGACATCAAAGGAGGTGAGATCAATTGTGAAGGAAACTGATGATGAGCATGATTACTAGGATCATGAACAATCATAATAGTAGAAGGATGATTTGAAGCAAGAGTAGCAGTAGGAGGTTTGAGTAAACCCAGTCCTTGATTCACATTCTGATGATTACCATTAGGATTAGGAGTCGTAGGATTAGGATTATAAGTAATACTAGATAAGACACTATCAATCGAACCTAGATTTTCAAGAGATGGTGCAATAGTCTTGGGAGGTAATGAACCAGGTAAAGGTAATGGTAAAGGTAAAGAAGATTGATTTGATTCTGATTTCTGAGTATTACTTGTTGATGATGATGATTTGTTTAAATTTCGTTTTAAAAGGAATTGAATAGATTCCAATGCTTTTCTTAAATATCCATTCTCATCATTTGATTGAATAGAATCAGTTCTATTAAATTCTTTTAAATTCTCATTGGCTTCTTGTGCATGATTGATAGTTGGGATTGAAGCTTTTGTTGATGATAATGAATGGTTTTGAAAAGTAGGTGTGATATCAAATAATGATGGACTCAATGCTCCAATTCCCATTCCATTATTTTGAGATTGATTCGAATTTAAATTAGGAGTGTTTTGATTGCTTCTATATCTTAAAGATGGTGATTGAGAATGAAATGTATTGGAAGTTGAACTTGCGCTTGAAGAGTTGGGTATTCTTGATCCCATTTTGACTGATTTCTCACAGATGATTGAGGTCTTGGTGTTTGTATTGTTTGACTTTATATATTCCAAGCCAAGAAGAGTTAGAGTAACTCAGCTCAATCCGTATTTTGTACCTTTTCATCTGAATACTTTTTTTTGATGATTGATGATGGTTTGCTTAATGAAAATAGTTCCTGATCCTCTTTTTGATCTTCACGACGCGAGTCCTCAATCGAGCTGCTACTCCAGTGTAGGGGATGTTTGAATCGAGTTGGACCCATTCGATGGATCTCTGAACTGAATTCTCCTCGGGAATCCACATCCAATCTGATTCTATCCTAACTTTTGACTGTCCATCAAACTATAACTTCGTTCTAGATAAACAGCCCTTTCGCCTTGATTTCCATTTCGATTTCGATATCTTTCTCCAATATCAGAGCTCCATTCAAAGACACGATCGCGAAAAGTGTGAGACTCTTGTTCGCTCGATTTCGCTCATTCGCTCACCTTGCAAACCGATCATCAACGCGTTTTTCGATTTCCATAGCTGATTTAACGAGTTTGAGCATCAAATCATTCAACATACAATCCCATGCACGAAAAAATGCAATCAAACCCACCTCAACCTTCACATCCAAACCAAGGACCATTAATCTTAGAAGACCAATCAAGACCATCGAAACCCACCCTGAAATCAAACTTCAGCAGATATTATAATCAAATCAGTTCGATAGATATCAGACCTAATTTACCATTTCACATTTCTAGATTTATGGGATATCGTGAATCGAATTCGAATTTAAAACCGATTTGGTTATTCACTTGGTTAAGGTTCTTACCGATTTATTTTGAAAACCTTTTATCTGGTAAATATCTACACACTTTAAACCTACAGTTTTGCATTTCCATCATCATTTGATGGGTTCTGACTTTTTGGACTTTCTTGGGGTTCTCGATTTCATCGATTTTGGTTTTTGGGTTTAGTTTTCTTTTGTTCATTTCTTTCGATCCTTTTGATTTGTTTAACATATTCTTATTCAGATCTATCACACCTAAAGTAAATCAATTTCAATCTTTCTCAAAACCACCCATTCACAAAGCCCAAAACCTTTCCAACCGAATTAATCAAACCAACTTGATTTTTTTCCAAAAAGTATTCCATTAAGCTTAGGATCAGCCGGAGCCACCGCTATAATCTTATTCGTCACACCTTTAACCCCAACTGCAACACCTCGAAACGTAATCTTTGGCCATCTAATCGCAAGTCTAACGTCTACCATCATCACTCGAATCTTCAAGTTTAATTTACAAACCACACCTAATCTGATTCAAGGAGAGATGTCCCGAGACTTAAGTTGGTTAACCGGTTGTCTATCGATGTCACTCACCGCCGTCTTTCAAGTCATGACAGGTACAGTCCATCCACCCGGTGGTGCTACGGCTCTCTTAGGTGCCATTTCACCTAACTTTGTGAAAATCGGTTGGGAGTTTATTTCGATCACCTTGGTGATGGTTGCATTACAATTAGCTGTGGCTTTAGTCTTTGGAAACTTGGGTAGGAAAAGGTATCCACTTTATTGGTTCTTTCCTCCTAAACCTGAACATCATGATCATGATGAAGCACCTTCGGTTCGGATTAGGAATCCAGTGATGGAAAAAGATAGGTTGAAGTTGATTGGGTCTTGGATTCATGATTCGGTCATTGAACTTGAAACATTGGATTTGAATGATCATAGAAGAAGATCTGATCTGATTAAGAATCTAAATCATGCTTTGGGTTTGATTAATGAACTCGACTTGAATTAATAAAAGATCTATTTAACTTTAGACAATTTGTTTTCTGTTTTCTGTTTTGATTTGTCTTTTTTGGTTTCTTGTTGAATCTGATCATCTAAAGTACTTTTGTCTTAAAATCTTAATAATTTCAATCATAAACTTTCATATATATAATATATAATTACAGAATCCCCCCAAAAAATGTTTCACAAAACAGAGGTATACAATTAAAGAAAGCTGCTTGATTGGAATCTTGAGTTTTTTTCACATTTAATAAAAAGAAATCATTTGACAAGGAAAGGTCAGCACCCCGGTATAGCTCTATAAGGGGTAGTGATATGAAAATGTGACTTTTGAGCTTGTCTAAGCCAAGTTTAATCCTTCCAATCAGCTGTATCAAACCTTTGTCAACTCTGAAATGGGCAGAAACCAGCAGAAATCATGTGAGCAATGACATAATCCCATGTGTTGTATCTCTGCAGGAGCTCAAAAGTCGCATTTCTAGATCACTATATACCCCTTATAGGAGAACTAGGGACTGGGCGCCCAGCCGCCGCAATACTCTTATCTTTGAGTAGAATTGTACTAAGAGCACCCACTATGGTGAGCGTGTTTTATCGTAAATTTTGCGGTCCCGACCGCGAAATTTAATCATGCGTGTAACAACTAAATCAGTTACCGCATGAAATTCACTATGGAGTGATTTACTGTGTGAGTTACCAACAATAAATCACCTTGAATCAAGTGATCCCACAGTGGCAAAATCACAACTTGAAAGATTGTATCTATTTCAAATAATACATCCAAAAAAACATCTCAATGTCTACTTCAATGAAACAAGCAATCAATGCTCTTTTGAAGTCTTCAAATGACGATGAAGAGCAACAAGAATATGAGCAAATAGCCTTTGACTTCCTCTTCGACAAGTCTCCTTCAACCTCCCCAGACTCGTATCAAGACCGTGTCCAACACGGTGAACAACTGTACAACAATACTTTGCACCTAATGCCACATAAGAATCAAAGTCTGTTTGTCGATTTTGAATGAGCAAATCAAGTGTGAGATGTCAAAGTGGTGATGAATCGATGAAGTGTGGGATTTGCAGAGTCACAAAAAAAAGCAACGGTTGAGATTTGAAGCGTCAAATCTTAAGATAAATCATGAATCAAGCTTGTGTAAATTTAGACAAGCTTGATTCATGATTTGATGCAGTCGTAGGGACCGCATGTCTAAGACAGGTCCATAGTGGACCTGTATAAGTTTTAGCGGTAAACTTACGATAAAACCGCTGTTTACCGCACCCATAGTGGGTGCTCTAACAATGCCATAATTTAACACAAATTCATTACTATCGCAATTCTGCTCAGCCTTGGCAATTACATTTTTCCACACTTGTGCAAGGTAGGTGTAACATCATTCTTAAGCTGATACCAAATTCTCCAATTAAAGCCTGCTCTCCAGCTAAAATGATTGAATGGCCAATACATCACAAAGTAACCAATTCCCGTTGAGTGTCAATCATCATCAGCCCAAAGCACCATGGAGCATTTGCCCAAGATTACCACATCAACATGAGGAAGTCTCAGGTTGCTAAGAAAGCCCGGCAGATCAAAAGAAGGCAAGTCCAAGCAGAAAGTGATTGAAAATAAGTAGAGAGATTAGCTATGATGTCCATCAAATGGGATAAAGCTTTGTTGGGCTGGACATGACCCCCAGTCAGTTTGAAAATAGGGTATTATGAAAAATTTCAGGGATGGAAGTTCAGGTTCATATTGTGCATAATCAACATTGAATCAAAAGGCTAGTCAAGAATGTGGATACTTGATGCCCAGACACATTAGGAATGGCCTTATGTGACAAAGTTCAATGGTGAGTTGGACAGAGTAAGTGTTGTTTCACATTGTGGATGGTTGACAATCAATGGCTGATCACAAATGTCATGTGTGAAAGAAGGCTGACACGTCCACCTTGGAAAGTCAGTTTACAAAATGCTTGTTTTACAATTGGCCTAGGGGCTAAGAGCATCCACAGCGGACTTTTCAACAATTTGAAAAGTCTGACTTTTGGATAGTTGGCTGCAAGGGTCATTTTGGCCTTTAAATCTTGTTACCCACAGTGCACCATCCATTTTTGGACTTTGATTTTCTGTACAAACATGTGCAACCTTGCTTGAAGCAGCTCAAACAGCAAGATCATCACTCCCAGTACAGACTTGGCTTGTTCAATTTGAATGATTGAAAATAGTCTCTGTTGAGTGCAACAAATTGTACATTAACAATATGTTGATCTACAAGCACGATCAGTGTTTTTATGACTGCATGAAGTTGCTTACACACTTGTTTGCAATGAGATCAAACAAATTGAAAGGTATTGAAGGGGGGTGTAGAGCTGTATATGTTGAGGTGATGTGGCAGAATCCACAACAAGTTGACACATAATTTTTGAATTTTCAAATTCTTGAATCCAACCTTCAAATTTGGAGGTCAGGTTCAAAGATTTGAAAAGTCTGCTGTGGCAAAATTTGACAATTTCAACTTCAAATTTAAAAAATTGTGAAGTCTCTTGTGGATGCTCTAAGACTTGAAAACACTACAAACAAAACTGATTCTCTGTGGGGTCTGGGATTCTTGATTTTGCATTAGCTGAAAATCATGACTTACGTCCAGTTTGCACGGTGACATGGGTTGTGCATTTTGATGCACGGTAAACCTCTGTGGGCCCATCCCCCGCAGTAAGTACACTTTATGTCTGATGATGAACAACTGCAGCATCTGTACACCAACCAAAAATGGATTGCACTGTCCAATGTTCACCCAACAACTGCGACCACTATCCAAAATTGTCTCCTGACCTTAAACTACCACCAACACAGTTGCTTTGTGTGAAACCACCACAAACATGGTCTCTTTACCTGATTCAGCACAATGAGATATGGTCACTCAGATGAGCATGAAAGAAGAAATCTTTAGATGCATCCTTTATGCATACAAGTAGGAATAATAATGCTCAATTTCAGGAACAGACACGTATACAACTAGCAAAATGATGTATATGTGAAAAATCTGACAAAGGCTCTGCAAGTAGTTGTAAAAACTTATACTCTGTTTCTTGTACCAACAAAAAGCAAGAAATAAAGGACACACACATGCAGGGAATAATGAATCAAAAAGTATAAAGACATGAGGGAAGTGTCACTGGAATATCAATAACCACCATCACCACCACCTTCTTCTTGATGATGTGGTGTGCCCTGTCCCTTGCCATCATTGTGTATCTCCCCATTTGGGAGAATTGAATGCAGAATGACCCAAAGCTATCAAAACTGTTTACAAAAAAAATTATATCCTTCAATCTCTGAAGCTATCATCTGTTTTTTGAGATCGAATGTACACATATCCACAAAGTTGACATCCACCATTACTGGTACAACCTGCATTGGGATCTTCAACAGTCTGTAAGAATGGAGGTGACCTCTGTTTGGCTTCACTAAGCAGATACTCCAAATACAACAAATTAAGTTCAGGTGTATTGATATTGATGAATGTAGTCACAATATCTGTTTTGCCAAACCAACCAGTACAACTGATTTGATGAACATATCTTTTGATTTGAGCTGGCATAGTGAACTGAAGCATGTTTTGAATTCCTGCAAAATTTGAACCTTTTGGTACACCACTGCCTACCATCACATTATTTTTGCCAGATTTGAATGATTTGATTGCATATTCTTGCTCCTTTTGGGCGGTCTACAACAGAAAAGGCATATAAGGTAGATTTAAGAACATACTTTCAAGAGTTATAAGCTTTTCAATGATTAAATATTCATGGATAATTGATGAAGACAATAGTTGTACGAATGAATTTGAAAATCCTCCGGGTAATGGGGCTAATGTTTGTTTTGAATTTTCCAGTGAGTCTTGAAGATTATATTTTTAATGATGCCAAAAGAATATAAACTACATCAGTTTTTGATTGAAGAACATCACAGAAATAGAAGAGCAAGGGCTGGGAAAAGATTACAACAACCCTTATTTGTCAAAACTTCCAATAGATCTCTAAAAGAACCAAAATCATATATTCTACACTCCTCAATCAAGATTTCATCTACCCTTTGATCCCAATTCAAAATGTTTTCAGATTGATTTGAAGTTTCCAGAATTGTACGTTATTGACTTTCTCACTTTAAAATTAAAAGCCTATCACTTAGTTCACATAAAAACATTAATTGTTTATTTGGATCCCAAAAATATGAATTTTGTGAAACTTCCTTTGCTGTAGGTCTAGAGATCAAACCAAAATCAAAGTCAAAGTCACCTCCTTCTTAATTTGTTCTGTTCAAATTAAACAAGATTACTCACTTTACTTTTGGATTGGATCTCAACATAAATTTAACTGAATCTTGTGCTTTGAATGCCTTTTCATCAAATCCATCTGATTGTTCTAACCTCATACCGCCCTCTAACATACTCATTTCTCTTTCATAGCTACTTCCAAAAGGGGTTCACCTCTAGTAAGCACATAATAAAAAACATAGCGGAAACATATCAATTGATCTAGTTAATCGATTTCCATTGAATCTGCTTCCATGGACTTCGATAGATCAATTTGATGCTGAATTGATTTTTGATGGAGCTCTAGATGAATTCAGTGTTAAGTTGCGGTTTTTGTTTAAATTCGCTTATATGAGGATTTTCAGGGAATTGATATGTAGAAACAATGGTTTGCAATCGTTTCAGCCGAAGAGACAGTTTCAAGTACATAGTTGTAAAATCGATTTTTTTAGGGCAACCAACGCCTAGCTATTCAAGTTCAAAACACCTGAGCTATGGTCGGGCCAAGGCGAATAGCTCCAAAGGATAGATATCAGAGCTAACGCCTAGCACTTCTGGTTACTTTCTACAGGACTTCACCGTAGCCCAACATGGTTTATTAGTTATTGGTAGATACCAGGGTCCTGAAAGGTCCCAATTTGCTACACCTCAATAATAACTCTTGCTTCACCACAGCAAGAACTTTCTTGCAACGAATTATCATGATGAGGAAAAAATACTGAATGGATTCTGGCAAGATATTGTTTTGACAAGGTTAGATGAACAGAGCAAGGGGAATTTTAACACCAGACTTGTGAGCTATTTGGACCCAGCTCAACATATATATGTAATTAGTTACCATATTTAGAAAACAGTGTTGAAGCATTGTGATCTGCTTTCTGATTGCATTGTTTTTTTTAGTTCAGGGTGAGCCCTGAGCCAAAAAACATGGGTAGTGGCCTACCTGTGCCCCAACCCAAATCTGAAAAGCCCCCTCACCCCCAAACCCACCCCCAAACCCACCCCCAAACCCACCCCCAAACCAATGTAAACCCGGCTTCCAGGAGGCCCCCCAAACCCACACCCAATTGCCTCAAGCCCACGGGATACCAGGGGGCTGCATGGGTAGGATTGGGGTTTCTATGCATTTGACCCCCCGCCCTGTACCCTTTGAGGTCCCTGATGTATTGGAGGCCCAAAAGGCCTGACCAAACCCTTGGGGTGAGGGTTTGGGGGCCAGGGACCCCGTGGGGCATTGGGCTTGAGGCTCACCCTGATTTTGAGTTGCCAAAAGTATGTAGATGAATTGTGGTGTGGATTGTCTGCTGTGAGAGAAATTAGACTGTCCACCATGAGAAAGACATAATGTTTACCATAAGAAAGATAGAAAATCAACAATGGCAAAGGTAGATTTTGTAAATCTGAATTTGATCTATACATATATACTGCCCCTCTTTGCCTGATTTTTGTCCCCCCCAACCTCCTCATCATTATTATTTTTCATAAAGTTTATACACATTAGGTTTTCCAATTCTCTTGTCTTTTCTCTATCATCAAGTTGCTGACTTCTTTCTCTTCTGTCTTTAGATGTCTTCTCCCAGTACCCACACCTGTTCTTGCCTCTACTCCTGCTATTCAGTCATCACCTGATTTGTCACTACTGTCCACAGCCTGTTATAGCTCCCACTCAACCTTCACCACCACCAGTCTTACAGGAACAAGTTCCCAATCCTAATTTTCCTATTCCCCCAAGGTATGATATGTTGTGGTACACTGACATGGCTTTCAAACATGATCCAATAACTGAGATATGATGGAGAACATTCCAATTGTGGTACAGATCCACTAGGGAGATTCAGGAGAGGAATAGAGCTCTGTATTTGGTGTCATGGAATGATATGATAGCTTTTAGAGATGAATTCATAGACATATTTGACTACAACTCTAGGTATGAACATGACTATAAGCCTTGTAGTCCAGAGAATCTGTGTACTTTTGAGACTTATGCTGTGAGGGTTAACCGCATCAGCCTCAAAAGGATGCAGAGTCTCTGTACTACAGGGTTCATAGCCATCTTCATACCTAGGATTGGGGTCATCTATGAATTCATTTCTAAAGACTATCATATCATTCCATGCCACCAAATCCTGAGCTTCATCCCTCTCCTGCATATCCCTAATGGATCTGTACCACAATTGGAATACTCTTCATCCCATCACAGCTACTGAATCATGTTTGAAAGCTATCCTCAGCTAATTCTCAATTGTCTCTTAGTGTGACAAATCCAAGTATATCTCAGACTGATAAAGGTGACACTGAATCTGACCAGTTGCAAACTGAAGGACCAAAGTGTCAGCACTCAAAGCACCCAACAGAAGCACATGAAGAAAGGTAAAAAGAAAACTCAAGAGATTGGGATCTCATCTGAATATGATGATGAGCAACCAATATGCAAAAATGATAAATCTAGTGAGCTTGCAATCTCTTATTCATGTGGTCATTGTTTGTATTTTGAATTGTCAGTAAAATTTTATATTTTTCAGAATATCCCAGTCCCAATCAAACTAGATCTTGATTAGGATGATATTGCATCTGAAACTGTGTAAACATCTTTGATAGGTATCTGAATTCAACAAGCAGAATACACAAAACAACTAGTGCTCTATTTAAAAGTACCTAATCATATAAACAAGTTAAGTGATGAGAAGTTTATAATTTTTCAGCCTTTGTCTTTTGAGAGTATCTCTGAATCATCTCTATTTGTAGACCATCCACAATCCTCAAGGCTACAAGTGTCAATACTGTCATGGAAATACCAGAACCGCTCCAAAACTTTTTTCGATGTTGGAGCGGTTTCGCAGCGATTCTGGCATGCGATTCAACCCCCGATTTACATATCGGAGGCTGCGCACCGCAACCCAGGGCCAGGGTTTTTCATGTCGGATCCACCGATGCAATACCCGGCCCAGGGTGGGTTTCTCCAACATATATCGGAGAAACTCATACACTTCCAGCATTAAAGAGGTTCCCAGATGGGAATATGGGTCCTAGTGATCAGATTCCCATTCTGCTACTGTTACACAGTTCCATGAATATTGCCTGAGTAGCCATTGTGATATATGTAGTCAATATTTTGAAATGTGTGTCTCAATCTGAACAAAGTTACAGCATGTATTACACATGATTTTCTTATCTAGATGAGCAGATAACTGAGCGGACCTGTATGTAGCTGATAGCTAAGGATTTACTCAGATGTTTGCACATATGTAGTGTATGCTTTATGGCTCAGATGTGCAGTGCGAGATGATGTGATGCTCCATTCTTCTCTCAATGATATTCCCAGCCTAGGTCATGTTCCGACCAGGGAACCTATTTAATGCTGGCAGTGATACCTCCCGGCCAAGCACCCGGTAACCTATCGCCATCGACTACTTTACGCCACCATCCACTCTTGCTCACCACAAAACAGTTCATTCAATCAACTACCGTTAAATATGATGGACACCAACGCACTGGCCCATATTTCTTACAATTCAACCTGCTCGTGGGCCTACTTGTGGTTGGGTTATCATCAGTTTATCAAGTATGTAAAGTAAGTGACCTTCCCGTTCTTTCATTTACCCCTTTTCAAAAACACCGTAAAAGCAATCATATAACTTACAAAGTTTGAATTTTCTTTACAATGTCTAAAAACTTGTCATTGCAAAGCCAAAGCCGTAGTAGCCTTCAAGTTCCAGACCGGGGATCTACCACCAGATGACTTCGACCACCGAGCCCATCTCGTACTCAGCAAGGTTTTGTCGCTACGCCGAAAGACTCACGACTAGCTCTCACCATCCCATCAAGTCCTGATCCTGAGCATGAAGAAGGCCAACTTGCTCATTGTCCTGCGTCACCTCGTCCCCCGACCTTGAACAAAAAGAACAATCAAGTTAAAGGTCCAGTTGGTTCGGCACAAATTGGTGCCAAACCAAAAGCACCAGGAAAGGTTTGCTTTCCAATCTCAGCAGACATTTCATAAACACACTAACACATGTGTTTATTTGTGTTCTAGCCTTGTTCATCAATTAGCAATCGAGCTAGATCACCAACACCAAACTCATCAGCTGGTAGCCCTCTCTCAGCCAGATCAGCCAAGAGAACTAATGTGGACGTAAGTACATTCGATTTCGCTGGAGTCTTGTTCCACTTCCATCTTTGATTTACTTTCTTCTTAAATTTCTATGTAGCCCTTCAAGGTCCCTGAAGGCGTAGATTTGGATGCAGGATCCGATGTTGAGATTGTAGCCTCCAAGGGTCAACTCGGATATAACGAGGGTCGTTCTCTCAATGTCAAGAAGCTTCTTGATTTCTATTTTCCACCTAAAGTAATGTTTTTCCAATCCTAATCTCAATCTAGTTTATCAGTTTGTATATTATCTGACATGTATCTTGCTTGCCTAGGGTCGTAAGTACAAGTGTTGATTTTGCAACAACACGTACCTCAAACACCCCACGACGTATTCTGCTCTTTGGACCCATTGCAACGGCAACAAAAACCAACCTGCATGCAAGGAACGACATTGTGCCATCAGAGCTGGGATGGATCTTCCACTCACCTATGCCAAAACCGTTGAGGCCAAGAAGAAAGAAGCCAAGAATCAAACCTTGGACTCCTTTCTATCTGGACCCACCTTTACCGTTGACCTCTTGAATATGGTACTAGTATTGTGGGTTGTTTGACATGCCTTACCCTGGGCTCGCTTTGAAGATGCCACCCTTCGAGGGGCCTTTGACACAGCCAACCGTAGTGCTGTGATACGATCAAAGACCTGGGCAGCCAAACAATCAGTTAATCTTTTTTCCGAATTGCACAATAAGGCCATCAACACTTTGAGAGTAAGTAACTTTTGTCTTTCTCATCTCTTTCTTATCAATGTTTTCCTTTTCTACTTTCTAATACTTTACTGATGTTTTGATTGTGTCAATTTTGTCGCATGTCCTAGGAAAACGATGGTCGATTTTCCTTGATTCATGACGTTTGGACAACAAAAGGTAACCGCTATGCTTTTGTTGGGGCAACAGCAAATTAAATCGACAGTAACTGGGAATATCAGTCAACACATCTTACTCTCAAATTGATTGCATGGCGACATTTTGGGGTTTTGCTAGCCAAACCGAT